TTAAGTTCCTCAAGAAAGTCAAGACTGTGAACCCTGCCCACGCTGGACCAATCATAGTGCACTGTAGGTAAGACTGCTGGCTATTCTTAAAATATATTTGCCTACAGACTAAGGGGTCATTCACACAGAATGCATTTTCTATTTCCCTGTGGTACTTTTCCATTAGGGCTGCACAATTAATCGAATTTCTAATCTCAATTACAATTATGGATGCCACAATTACGTAATCGTTCAAAGCGGCAATTAATCGTTCAAAGTCCACTTATGTTATTCTGCACGCTTAAGATATGTTTTTTTCTTTCTACATGTTATCTTAAGAGCTTTTCCATTGTTTTAGTTTTAGTATAACATTATAATGCCATTCATATTTGTACTTTTTTTATCATTTAAAGAAGAAACCAATCCGATGTATATTTGACATTTGAGGGTTAATACTGTAGAAAAGCACGAAAGGTTTTTCAGTTAGAGTGTTTTCAGCTTGTTTATTTTCATATAAAAATACGGCATGCAGTTGCATCAAACAATGGTATAAACATCATTCAATGTAAATTGTGATAATCGTATTTAATAATCGCAATTACAATTTCAAGGGAATAATCGACAATTATGATTTTTGTCATAATCGTGCAGCCCTATTTCACATTGTTTTTTTATGTAAATGCGCTAGATGAATGAGTTTGACCGTCTTGTGTCTTTTTGCAGTGTCTCGCACATGACGTAGTGTTCTATAAACGCAGAACTCAAGTTAATAGTTCAACTTTTAAAGACCTTTTGTTTTGAGACCTTTTAATTTTCCAATTCCACACGTTCTGTGACAGGCCCCTAAGAAAAGGAATGTATATAATGTGTTATATACAACAGTCAGTTAGATCTATAGGGATGCCTTTGCGCATGCTAGTGAGTTAAGAGCTATTTATTGGACAAAACAATTGAAACCGTGAAAATTTAATCTATAAAACAGTTTGAAATGCAAAGTATGCAAAAACAACCACCAACACACACATCTTAAGGCTCAGCTGTTAAACGGCCCCCTCATGTGGGATTGTTAACGCCTCAGCCAGAACCACCAGAATTTTCCACTTGTTAAAGTGTGAAAAGTCCCTCATTGCAGTGAAATGGCAAACTATAACTTTTTCTGGTATGCTATACAGTAAAAACCTGCAATGTTCACAGCATTTTTAATGTTAATATAAAACTGATCCCATGTTTAATTGAACTGAGATAATTATCTAACCCAAAATAGTAATTCAAATGGAAAAACCCTGCAGTTTTTACTACATTATCTCATTATCCCACATTTCATGCCCTACTTCACATCTCTCGACTCATCTCATTTTCTCTCTGTATAGCGCTGGGGTTGGCAGGACTGGGACGTTCACTGTGATTGACGCAATGATGGATATGTTGCACGCTGAAGCGAGGGTGGACGTGTTCGGCTTTGTGTCCAGAATAAGAAAGCAACGTTGTCAGCTCATTCAAACAGATGTAAAGGAATTTCTGCAGTCCCTCTGCTGTGTTTGACTCATTTCAGCAGTGACTGGCCACTGATATTCCTCTCTTTCGCCCACAGATGCAGTATTCGTTCATTTACCAGGCACTTTTGGAGCATTACCTGTATGGTGACACAGAGTTAGACATCGCTTCTTTGGAAGGCCACCTCCACAAACTCCACAACACACACACACAAATGGACCGAGTGGGTCTGGAGGAAGAATTCAGAGTAAGAACCACATCAGTTACACTTATTATAGGATTTGCTAAGCAATAGCATGGAATAATCTCATGATTTACTATGAACATACAATGACAAAAATTAAGTGTTCTTTTTAACACGTTGTTTTGTTTGGAATTTCCTCAGAAACTGACTAATGTCCGCACAATGAAGGAGAACATGAGAACCGGAAATCTGCCAGCCAACATGAGAAAGAATAGAGTACTACAGATCATCCCATGTGAGAAGAGGGATATATATTTATATAAAAAGATTAATCACTTTCTTAATGTAATCATTATCCTGTCTTATTACCAGATGACTTCAACAGGGTAATATTATCAATGAAAAGAGGGCAAGAATTCACAGACTATATTAATGCATCTTTCATAGATGTAAGTATATGTTTTATAAAAATGTTTACATATTTTATATATATATATATATATATTTATATATATATATATATATATATTAATATATTTATTGATAATTAAACAGAACATTGGGAAATGTACTCATAACACTATGGTTTACCTTTGCAGGGTTATAGGCAGAAGGATTACTTTATAGCAACTCAGGCACCTTTAGCTCACACTGTGCAGGACTTCTGGCGCATGGTATGGGAGTGGAAGTGCCACTCCATTGTCATGCTTACTGAGCTAAAAGAGAGAGAACAGGTACAGTGTAACGGTTTATAATATTTATGCATTAATCAACATAAAGAAACATGCAGTTACTCTTCCAAATTTCTATGTCCGAAGTATTCTCGCATTCATTCCTTTCCAACAACTCTCACTTCAGGAGAAGTGTGTGCGTTACTGGCCAGCAGAGGGCAGTGTTTCATTTGGAGAGTATGTACTGGAGCTGAAGAGAGACACACTTTGTGAGACTTTCAGCATTCGAGACATGCTGCTGTCATATGCATCAGTGAGTAAAACGTGCAGTGAATTTGACCATTTTATTGTCCATCACACGCTTCACTTAGGAGCTTCCTTTATTTTGCTCAAATTGATGCTAAATTGGGCTGTTTGCAGGAAAAGCAGACCCGTCTAGTCAGACAGTTCCACTTCCATGGTTGGCCAGAGATTGGAATCCCATCAGACGGAAAGGGAATGATTGACATTATTGCTGCAGTGCAGAAACAACAGCAACAATCTGGAAACAACCCTATAGTGGTGCATTGCAGGTACTCGTACACTCTCTATATCATTTACACACACACACACATAGTCTTTCATATTGTTCAACAGATAATATTTTTTTGTGTAACGTTTATAAAACCTATCATAAAAGTATGTTTGGGGGGGGGGGGGGGGGGGGGAACCTTCATTGCCCTCAGCAACATCTTAGAGCGGGTCAAAGCCGAGGGGTTACTGGACGTATTCCAGACCGTGAAGAGTTTACGTACTCAGAGACCACATATGGTCCAAACTGTGGTAAGAATGTGAAACACTATGCATAGTTCACATAGATCTGATGGCTTCACTATTTTATTATAATATGGAAAATAGCAATAATAATAAAATAATTGAGAATGAGTAGGTATTTTGGCTTTTGACTGTCATTGTGTGAATTATTATATAATGTAGTTCCATTTGTCTTTTCAGGAACAGTATGACTTCTGCTACAGAGTTGTGCAAGATTTTGTTGACATCTACTCTGACTATGCTAATTTCAAATGAGTGCAGCTTACCAACACACATTTATATTATATTTAAATTGAAGAATTTTACTGTGGCTTAGTGACCTCCATGCACTTGACATTTTCCTATTCTTGTTATATGCAGTAAGGTAATATTTTGGAAATGACCAGACTCCAGTGGCTTAACCACGTCAAGTCTTTTGCATTAAGTTTTTGTTACATTTGTGTAAGTATTCAGTGTAAATTTTTTTTCTTTTAATATGACCATAATATTTAATTTGTTCATTAACAAATTTTGTTTTCTACAAAGTTATTTTTTCTTTAAAAATTGTTCACAAGAGTGTAAAGCATTCCATTCTCAGTATTTGTTCCTTCTATTTACCCTCCAGCTTGATTCCCAGAAAAATTCTGCATGGTTATTTGTGTCTACCAGTGTACTAAAAGTAATTAAGACACTTTCAAATTTGAATTGTATGGCAATTCTTGGTCAGACTCTAATTTGCATCACCCTGATAAGTCACTTATGCCATATACTTGCTCTTCACCTCAACATCACCTTCACAACCTGACTGAGATGTCCAACCACTTAATGAACTTTTAGCAGTCTTTAAAGATTCTGTGATGATAATGCTGTTTATTCCTATGACTTTTCAAGCCAATAAAATACCCAAGAGGCTAAAACTGTGACAGGGATACATATATGGATTAAAGCATAAAACATTCAAAGGAAGTAATAAATCCTCAATGATATTGGGTTGAGGAATTAATACATAACATAAACAGGTTTAGTGACATCTGTGAAACAACAAAGGAATAGTTTTATTTAATTATTCCCTACAAACACTAAATAACTTGTGTGTTTTTGTCTGCTTGTTTGAACAAGGTCAGGTAAAAAAAAAACTCATCTGTACTGTCACTGCAGTGACAGGGCGAGAAATTAGAAAATGAGGAAAGACATGCCTTAATCCTGAATAACACCATTTTCTGCAATAAATGTTTCAATACTTGTGCCTGGGTGTGTGTGCAAATTATTTTACTATAACAAGTCAATATAAGCAGCTTTTAGTAGCTGCATACTATTTGTACAGGTTGTAATACATAGGAAAGACATGCCTTAATCCTGAATAACACCATTTTCTGCAATAAATGTTTCAATACTTGTGCCTGGGTGTGTGCAAATTATTTTACTATAACAAGTCAATATAAGCAGCTTTTAGTAGCTGCATACTATTTGTACAGGTTGTAATACACACCACTTTGCATTTGATATTGTTAATGCACAACAGGGTTGTAGTGCACACTATGTAGTACATCAGTTGTACTGTAAATTACAACTGCTTACAGCAATTTGTCCCTTGATAAAGACATTTTACCCATTTTATGTCCACTCACACGAGATGAAGACTCGGTAACCTAATACAAAAGCGCCTTCATCTCATACTAGTGTATTTTAGTGTACATGTCTTTTTATAATAAAATTTTAAGTGTTGTTAATTTCTTTATTTGTAAAAACTTAGTAATTAGCAAAATAATAATAACAATAACAAAAGGGAGTGCACCTTTAAGACTGTAAAATGAGAGAAATCCGGCTTTCTCAAGACACACCCAAAACCACTGGGCGTGGTCTGCGTCCTGTGATGAGTCCACAGCGTACTTCTAGCATCGCTCTGTGGCGTCCACAACACTGAACGTAGCGAAGTCCCAAATGCTACAGAAAATGGCCTTTGATAGTTGAAGGCCGTGTTTTGAGTTGTTTATTAAAGCTTTGAATATGGAGAACACTGTACGAACAGCTCCATGCCATACGTCCTTCTCGTGACGCAGAATGTATGGGTTCGCTGGGTCGCGAGGAAGAAAGAGAATCTTGAGGACTCCCGCTGGATAATCAAATAGCTCCTCGCTAACCGCACAGAACTGGAGGATGGCTGGAATTATTGGGAACAGTTCAACATCTGGAATGGGTGACATCATCCAGCTGAATGTCGGAGGGACGAGGTATGCTGACGTCATGACTTCTTTACATGAACTCGGAGTCCAAACAGGTTTATTTGAGCTCAAAGACTCCGTCACTGTGCGGCGGATTTTGACTTTGATGTGACGCCTTGAGCGTTAATATGTAACGGTAACATAGTGTGTCCGCTAATCATGTTTTAAACTATAAAGCACATTTTGAGCTCAGACTACACGTCTTGAATATTACCATAACTGTTATTACGTTACATAAGGCGAGTAAGAATATTCAGTTCCTTATTACATGCCCAGCTTTTACATGTTCTACAAGATGTCATCAGAATGTCCAAAAACCTCTAAAATAGCATCATCATTTTATTACAAATATAAACAACTGAAGAAATACCCTGGTTAATACCATAGTTATTTAAGTTACTATATTAAAACTGCATTACAAATAAATAAATGACAATGACATTGAACGCTTCTTACTGTAACTGTAAACTGGATGATAGATAAGCTCACCCAGTAAAAGAGAAATGAGAAGTGATTGAATCTAAAATCTTATCTACATATTTTCAGATTTAGCACGTCAAGGCAGACTCTGACATGGATTCCTGACTCTTTCTTCTCAAGGTAAGAGAAGATGTCTGAAGCAGCAGCACCACACAGCCTTGTTGTTTTTCTGCTCAAGGTTTTTTTTTTGGACTGGGAGGAAGTTTTGAGTTCTGAAAGTTGAAATATGCTACATCAGTCTTAATAGTTTTAGGGAAAATTTGATTTGTACACTTTAATAGAAATTCCAGATTGATAACACAGAGATCCTCTTTGTATGCATATTTGTGAAACCTCTATCCATTCTTCTTGAATAATAAAACTAATGCAGTTGTTGTGTTCTGGACATTGCATAGCTTTGTTTGTGTAAATGTGTTTTGTGCCTAGTTTACTTAGTGGAAGGATATCAACACTACGGGATGAAACTGGAGCCGTGAGTAGAAGTCCAAAAAAACAGTTTTTACCATTTATTGTGGGTTGTTTGTTAAAAAAATAATCATTTAAAAGTTTTCAGATGCAATAAAATTAGAAATGTTATCCAGCTCTGAATTAGATCTTTTCTTTTCTATAAGATATTCATTGACAGAGACCCAACAGCATTTGCACCCATTTTAAACTTTCTTCGAACTAAAGAATTAGACTTGAGGTGAGATATAACATATGCCTAATTGTTATCCATTACATATCCCCAAAATATATAGATTGACTTGTCTAATATTCCTGCTTTCTCTGATAGGGGGGTTAACATTAGTATCCTGCGACATGAGGCAGAGTTCTATGGTATTAGACCCTTAGGTATGGTATAACTGGAGTGGATATATTTATTAAAAACTGTTAACAGTAAAAACAAATGTGAGTGAATTAGGTGCAGCACCTAATTTATGCATGTATAATTCTTACCTTCCGTTTCTGTTTGTCAACGATATGGTTAGTCCGACGCTTACTGCTTTGTGAAGAACGGGAGCGATCATCATGTGGAAGTGTGTTGTTTCATGGCTACCTCCCTCCACCAGGTAGGGTGACAGTAGATCTGTAGAAGAAGGAGAAAAAAGAGTCACTGTTTCATCCTCTGTGCCAAATATAACACATCAGGATGAGGCTGGTATTTTTGTCCTTCAGCTCTCCCAGTGCGGAGCAGTGTAGGTGGGAAGGCTGCAGCTGTTGCAGCTCCAGAGGAGTGCTCAGGCCCCACTGGCGCGGAGGGGGGTTACCCACGTTCCTGCCCTCAGTCTTCTCTCCCTGGACCCTCTGGGGTAGATGGACCTCAAAGACTAGGTGAGTAAAAGGTGTGTGTGTGTGTGTATATATATATATTCCATGGTCTGTCTGAATACTGGATTCTGATTGGCTGGCAGGTATGCAGTAAAACTGTTTAATGCACAGGTAGTTGTTCCAAGTCAGTTTAATCACCGTTCTATATTAATGCGCTGCTTTAATTGATGCACACTAGCCAACAAGCATCACTCGCACACACACACACACACACACACACACACACACACACAGAGAGAGAGAGAGAGAGAGAGAGATTGCAGATTGTGCTGCACACACACATAAACTTGTTGTAAACGCTTCCCTGTGATTTTCATTAATAAAATAGCCTAGATACTAGAATAACCTGGATTTTAAATGCACTTTGCGGAGGCAACCACCCTCGGTTCTTTGCCTCCACGTCGTGCATTTAAAATCCTTTAATTATATATATATATATATATATATATATATATATATACAGTGTGAAACAAGAGTAAACAAGGGGGACAAAACAAGAATTTCCACTGAGCATGAATATGATCTCAGATATTCTCAGTTTGGGAATATGTTAACAGTGTTTATAAACCTTGTTATGTAATATTTTTTAAATAATTTTATTGTGGTTTTTGAAATGTAGGAGAACTGTAGAACTGGGTTGGCCATAGCTGTCTCAATGCAGACTGGAGAACCGTATGTGCTTATATACTATGTGCAGTATGGGGCGGGGGTGCCATGAAGACAAAGTATTCCCCTTACAAGCAGTGGTGCAGTATGGGTGAGGTCATCGTAAAAGGCCTTTTATATCCTCTGTGCCCAGCGAAGTCATGTGAGGAGGATGATGAAAGAGAGATGGAGAAAACAAGTTAATGGACAGGCCTTCCTTTTAACCATTTTATTGCATTTTGGTGCATTTATATATATCGCAGGGCAAAATTTACTGAGTTCACATCACAGAGAATTTGGATAATAATTGTATAATAACTGACAGAACAGAAAAAAAATGAAATATGTGTTTGCAGAGGATTTGTTGTAATGGTAGAAAAAGAAAGTGACGATAGCCACTAAAAACAGGCAACAGCCAGTATTAAAAAAAAATAAAAACAACACATTATGAGCTTCTTGTTGTATCATATTATTACTTTTTTTTGCATACATTTGAAACTTATTACTTGTTTTTAATAATATTTACTTCAATACTATGGAAGTCAGTGGCTACCGTCAACATTTCAGCCTACTTGTGTTTCAACATACTAAGGTATTGTTTTGGATTTTTTTCTATTACAATGGGATCACCAGTGGACCCTAGGAAGGTGCTGATTGTCGCTGGCCATCATAACTGGATTGTAGCTGCTTATGCACATTTTGTCATTTGCTACAGGTAAAGCTACAGCTCACATGACTTGAAATATAAAATAATAAAAGTTATACTCACCATTGGTAGACTGTGATTGTTATTTAGGATAAAGGAATCATCAGGCTGGCAGCAGGTGTTTTCCAGCCCTTACCTGGACTGGGCCATAGAGCGGGTGGCCCTCAATGCAAAAGTCATGGGCGGCCCACATGGAGATAAAGACAAGATGGTGGCAGCGTCATCAGAGAGCAGCATTATGTTGTGGAGTATCCAGGATGGAGGGAGTGGAAGTGAAATAGGTGGGAGGACAGAACAAAAATGAAATGTGAAGTCTCTCATATGTGTCTATTTTGTGAGATAATGTTTCTTTGTCTTTGTGAAGGTGTGTTCAGTCTTGGAGTACCTGTTGACTCTCTGTTCTTCATTGGGAGTCAGCTGGTCGCCACCAGTCACACGGGGAAGGTGGGAGTGTGGAATGCCGTCACCCAGCACTGGCAGGTAAAGCTATTTAAATTTTATACTACATGCAAACATATTATCAAGGTTCATATTTGATTACTTTATTTGCAATATATCACTTGTACAGGTGCAGGATGTGGTGCCCATCACAAGCTGCGACACTGCTGGCTCCTTCCTCTTGCTGGGCTGTAACAACGGCTCAATTTACTATATTGGTAAGCTGCTTATCTTCTTCTAGATTGCATTGAATTTATTTTTAGATGACGTGAGTCGTTTAATGAAACACTACCAAAAGTTTGGGGTCAGTAAAATTTTTGTTAAAGAAATGAATGCATTTACTTTGCAAGATTGCATTACATCGATCAAAAGTGACAGTAAAGATATTTATGTTACAAATATTTCTATTTTGCATGAATGCTGTTTTTTTTTTTAAACTTCCTATTATCAAAGAAATAATGATACATGGTTTTCCATAAAAATATTAAGCATCACAACTGTTTTCAACATTGATAATAATAATAAATGTTTCTTGAGCACCAAATCAGCATATTATAATGATTTCTTAAGGATCACGTGACACTGAAGTCTGGAGTAATGGCTGCTGAAAATTCAGCTTTGCTATCACAGGAATACATTAGGTTTTAAATATATATTAAAATAGAAATTTACATTTACATTTACATTTAGTCATTTAGCAGATGCTTTTATCCAAAGCGACTTACAATTGGGGGATACATAAAGCGATTCTTCTTAAAGAGGCAAACAGACACAGGAAGTGGTTGTAATACCAAGTTCTTAGACATTGTTCAAATAAGTACAAGCTAGAAAGAGAAGGAATAAATAAAGAGAGAGATATTTTTTTTTTATGATGAAGTCAAGTAGCTTCGAAAGAGATGAGTTTTCAGCTGTCGCTTGAAAATTGTCAGGGATTCAGCATTCCGGATAGGGGTGGGAAGATCGTTCCACCAGCCAGGAGTGGTGAACGAGAATGTTCTGGAGAGTGATTTTGAGCCTCTCTGTGATGGTACCACGAGGCGTCGCTCACTAGCGGATCTCAGACTTCTGAAGGGGATGTAAATTCGTAGTAGTGAGTGGAAGTAGGCGGGTGCTGAGCCTGTGGCTGTTCTATATGCAAGCATCAATGTCTTGAACTTGATTCGGGCCGCAACCGGTAGCCAGTGCAAGGAGATAAAGAGAGGTGTAACATGGGCTCTTTTGGGCTCGTTGAAGACCAGTCGTGCCGCTGCATTCTGAATCATTTGTAGAGGTTTGATTGTGCTTGATGGGAGTCCAGCCAGAAGAGCATTGCAGTAGTCCAGCCTAGAGATGACAAGGGCCTGGACAAGAAGTTGTGCAGCATGCTCCGTTAGAAAGGGCCTGATCTTTCTGATGTTATGCAATGCAAACCTGCAAGATCGAGCGGTCTTTGCAATGTGGTCTTTGAAGGTCAGCTGGTTATCCAAAGTTACACCAAGATTTCTGACCGAAGTTGATGGGGTAATTGTAGAAGAACCTAGCTGGATGGAAAAATCATACTGTAGAGTTGGGGTGGCAGGGAAGACAAGAAGCTCAGTCTTTGCCAGGTTGAGCTGTAAGTGATATTCTTTCATCCATTTCAAATTGTAATAATATTTAACAATATCACTAACAATATTACTGTTAATCCATTCAAAAACATAAAATCTTTTGAACAGTAGTGTATTTTAATTTTGAGTTAACTGTATTTAAATATGTACATTGCAAATGTATTAAACCCATTTTACATTTGAAATGTCACCACTATAACATTTGAAATACCTCTAATATGTACACGTAATATGTTAAATGAGAAGATGATAAAGGAAAGACTTAACCATTTTCTCTCCACTCTCAGACATGCAGAAGTTTCCGCTGAGAATGAAGGACAATGACTTGTTGGTGACGGAGCTGTACCACGACCCATCGAATGATGCCATCACGGCCCTCAGTGTCTACCTGACTCCTAAAACCAGTACGTCCAACGATGGTTAATTAGTCTAACTAGGAACAATGAAGTGGTGAGTCTGACCAGTCACTGATCTCACAGGTGTGAGTGGGAACTGGATTGAGATCGCATATGGAACCAGCTCAGGGGCCGTGCGTGTCATCGTGCAGCATCCAGAGACTGTTGGATCTGGTCCACAGCTCTTCCAGACCTTCACTGTCCACCGCAGCCCTGTCACTAAGATTATGCTCTCTGAAAAGCACTTAGTTTCAGGTAAAAACTACTCAGAAATAGGACGATAGAATGCAAAATGTTGGTGATCTATAAATTCGGTCTGTTTTTGTTGAAGTGTGTGCTGACAATAACCATGTACGCACATGGACGGTGACGCGCTTCAGAGGCATGATCTCCACTCAGCCAGGATCTACTCCGCTGGCCTCCTTTAAGATCATCTCACTGGAGGAGACAGAGAGCCATAGTAGCTATTCCTCCGGCAATGACATAGGTGAGAGACTTGTAAGGCTTGTAGCTTTCCACTGTATCGGCACAAACAGAACTGAAAAGCTGCTATTGTCCTCCATTATCCTGTGAGCTTAACTGCTGTTAAATAGAATAAATAAAATACCAATAAAATAGCACTTCATCTGCTGTTTCCATTCAGGCCCATTTGGAGAGAGAGACGACCAACAGGTGTTCATTCAGAAAGTCATTCCTATAACCAACAAACTTTTTGTTCGCCTCTCCTCTACGGGAAAAAGGTACATTTTGAGACACATTTCATTCTTAGACGAGGTGCACACTGCATAATATGCTGAATAAATATCTCATTATTTACTGTTGCCCTAACATTGTACGTGTACTATTAAAAATGGTGACTTAAAGAGATAATCCAAACAAAAATTTACCAATTTTACCAATCCTCATGTCATTTCAAACCTGTATGTCTTTCTTTGTTTTGTGGAACATGAAGATATTTTACATTTATTTGTTTTATACATTTATTAATCTTTTTATCCCTGTATTTCAGGATCTGTGAGGTGCAGGCTGTAGGTGGCACCACCATCACGTGTTTTACAGTGCGAGAGTGTGAGGGCTCGAGCCGCATGGGCTCCAGACCCCGCCGTTACCTCTTCACTGGCCACGCAAACGGGAGCATTCAGATGTGGGACCTCACCACCGCCATGGACACGGTCAACAAGAGTGACGACAAGGCCAAGCGGGAACCAGGTCTGATTATTACTGTGGACAAAATAAGGAAAATAAATTGTCTATTTGATAAAGTTGTGAAATGATGTTACCTGTCTGCAGAGGTGGGAGGTCCAACTGAGGAGGAGCTGCTGAAGCTGCTTGACCAATGTGATTTGAGCACATCTCGCTGTGCCACACCCAACATCAGCCCCGCCCCCTCTGTGCTGCAGCACAGCCGGCTGCGAGAGTCCTGCTCCAGGTACTGTAGTGCAAAGGCTTATTCACAAATCTGAATTTTAAAACAAAACTCTTCTTCAGTCAAAGTCTGAAATATTGTAGTGCAGTGATTTGGAGGCTAGTTGAACTTCTAATTGCTCAGATTCTGATTTTGCTGTCATTCTGGTATTCAAGCTCAAACAGTGATACAATTCAGCACATATGAATAGCTTTGGTATAAAAAAAAGTTCACATTTTATATTGATGTAAATAGACCTTAAAGGGCTAGTATACCCAAAAATGTAAATTTACTCCATAGTGACCACCGCTGTCAAAACAGCCATACAACAGTGTGACTGATGCTATATTCTTTGTGAAGAGACCAAAAAGTTTGTTTTTCACACACAAATCTTTGACGACAGATTTAAAAAATGTTTTACAAACGATTATGGCAAACACAAAAGATTATGAATAACATCCTATATTTCAGTCCGTTCCTTAGAGAAAGCTTTCAGATGACTAAGATTACACTGCACGACGCATGAGCTACTTTTTTTTAGTTTTTTGTCTTTTGTCACTATGAAAAGTCGTATGGAAAAAAGTTGCAAAAATATCAATTTAAAATCAAAGTAATATTGTAAACCAGTAATGTCAAAGTAGTATTTGTTTATTTCTTTGGGTAAACTATTCCTTTAATGTTCTTAATGAATTTTAAGAATAAATTTGTAATCATTCAGCAACACACCATTTTATTTTGTCATTTTTACAGTCTCCAGCTGCAGGCTCAGGAGCCCATCCCTGAGACGGCCACTTATGGAGCCTTGCGGCCGTACCGAGAAAGCCCCTTGCTGGCCCGTGCTCGACACACCGAGAGCTTCCACAGCTACAGAGACTTCCACTGCTTAAACCTGACCAAGGCCCTGCTGGAGAACCACAGACAGTGCGGATCCATGGAGGATGAGATACACCATTCAGTGGGAGAGAACAACGCTGAGGACACCGACAAAAGGAACTCTACCATGGATCTTTGGGGGTCCAGATCATCTGAAACCCAGTCTTCAGCTGCACGCAAACCCCCAAACAGCCCAGGAGACCAGCAGCGAAGGGCCCATTTGATGGAGGAAGTGGCTGCAGACCCTAGACCAGATGGGGGCAGGAGGAGAGGGGCATTTGAAGCAAATTTTCTAAGCAGGAAAAAGGCCCCCCCAGTTCCACAACTGAGCCCCCCACCGGCAGGAACTGATGGAGGGAGCAGCGACTCGTCCAGCACTGCCTCACCCTCGCCAACTAGTGTCCACATCCCCACGCCATCGCAAGGCTCCTGACGCTGCATGTGAGTGATGGTTCACACAGATTTGTCCTATGCAGAGGTCGTACCAAATACAATAATCAATGACAGGGAAAAGAAAGTAGTTGAATGGATGACTTCAAAAGTGAAGCGTTTCAGAATGTAGATGCGAAGGTTTGGCAGGATGCAAGCTGGCAGCTAAAAAAAGAAACCTCACTCACTGTGGACAGATTTAAAGGGAAAATACACAGCATAAATATGTCAGTTTCACATGTCTGTTAACCGGTTGAAAGAAGTTATTAAGCTTTTGTCAGACTTTAATATGAGCTTAAATATGAGATACATTTACTTTTCATTCCTTTGAGAAAATTAACAAAGAGTGACTAGATTAATTATTCAGCCAGTTAGACTTTAGCTTTGTACACCTGTGCCTTTACTAAACATTTTTATTGTTTTTGTCCATTAAAGGGATAGTCCACCCTAAAATGAAAACGTGAAGAAAATTTGAATGAAGAATTTACTCACCCTCATGTCATTTAAAACCCACAGGACTTTCTTTTGTGGATCAGCAAAGGAAAAGTTTAACAGAATGTTTTGCTGCTCTCTTCTATACAATGAAGGTGGATTTATATTCAGAGTAATAGAATTAAATGTGTTACTATTGATAATCTTTTCTTGATAATCCTTCTCGACATTTGCTTTCACTGTATAGTAAATATCAGTTTGACTACTTTCGTGTTTCATGAAAGAAAAAAAAAATCATACAGGGGTTGAAAGACTTTTCAGATTTTGAGTGGATTATTGATTAAATGGTTTGCTTTTCTCTTGTAAATGAAGTTGCTTTTTTAAAAAGTAGATTAGCATGCTGATGCTACTGGCCACTAACAGTACCTCCAAAACACTGTGATGCACTTTATTGTCTGTACTTACATTGAATGGACTGAACAGATGAGCTTTAATGATCAGGTTTGACTCGTGAAGGCAGCAGGAATCAGCAGCCTTTGACAGAATCTCTTTCTTTCTTCATTAATCCTTTCAGACGGGTTGCGCTCTCTGAACTTTCAGCATGCATCCGCAGGGGATTTTTACTTGCTCTATCCATTTTGGGGATTTATTCAGTGCCTTTTGCTAATTTGGATAGATACTGCTGTGAGAAATCAAAACTGATTTAGCTTTTTTTTCTGTCTTTCTGATGTGAGGGTTTGTTGGATTATCACATTATGCAACTGATTTAAGTGAAGCGGATTCAGTTACACTCACAGAATAAGACACTTACCAAGATGAGAAAAAGAAAAGAAGGTATATTTTACAGTTGCCAGATTTAAAGGTAATAATATACAATTAAAAATTGATTTTTTTATTAATGGATTAGCTCTGTATTTAAAATGCTACAATACAAACTTCTGTCTAAATTAATCAACATGTGAATAATGTCATCATAACGTGAAATGTTATCATTTGCATTTTCACTTCTGTTAAGAATATACTGTCAAGAATTATTTACAGTGGGTACGGAAAGTATTCAGACCCCCTTAAATGTTTCACTCTTTGTTATATTGCAGCCATTTGCTAAAATCATTTAAGTTAATTTTTTTCCTCATTAATGTACACACAGCACACCATATTGACAGAAAAACACAGAATTGTTGACATTTTTTTCAGATTTATTAAAAAAGAAAAACTGAAATATCACATGGTCCTAAGTATTCAGACCCGAAGCTAATTTTGCATTCAACTGATGAGCATGGTCACTTTCTTTCCAGCCATTCCACTTAGTGTACAGGTTATATCCTGCCAGAGAAAATGTACAGTATATAGTGATTATTATTTTAATGGTAACTAAATGGAATCCTTTAACAAAGTACTTTATATAAAGGAAATGAGATCGTATTAATGCTATGCAATCAGTGTTAGTGCTGACAGTAGGCTACATAGCCTGAAACTAAATCATGAATAACAGAAATGAATAGCAGAAAGTTATTTGGACTACAGCATGAAGCTAGAAAAATAAATTCAAATAAATAAAATAATATAAATAATTACCCCTTGGAAGATCTGCATGTTTCATTTCTCAAAATGATGTTGCATATGCTTCCAATTGACTTTTTAAAATGTCCTTTGTTGCTAAGACTGGTTTGCTCCTAGGTGTAGTGATCTTGGTATCAAAATGGTATCAAGATATGCATATTAATTAATTAAATGCATATTACTTAATCAGCTACTTGTGTAATTTATTTGCTCTCTGAGATGTTTCAGTGTTGGGGAATATTTAATTGACAAGAGTATGATTCTTTATGCTTGCTTTCAGAAATACAGTCACAAGCTGATTTGTGTTTTCAGTCTGGTTACTGTATGATTTCATCTCCAGACAAGAGATCTTATCATTTCAATATGCAGAATAGTTATGTTTTATCAAACAAGACTGGCTTACCTGCTGCACAGATCATGACATGGCTACAAGAAGAAAGTTTACGTTACTTGAAATATGGAGAGAAAAAAAAATAGAATATGGTACATACAGCACAGATCGGTACTCAGCTTCTGTACATTTCCAGTGGCACAATAAAGTAGCCAAACAGAGCTGCGTCTCAGACTATTTGATTTTGTTTTAATAAGCATGGAAACATCAACATTACAAACACAACTTCTACATTTCACAACTCTATAGCAACGATTGTCCATAAATGAGTGTACGAGACACCATAACTACACAAACCTCTGATTAATCTTAGAGTGAGCTCTGTTTAATGGAAAAAAATATTAAAAATAAATTATTGCAACAATAAATAATACTGACAATTTTTTTTAAAAAGTTAACGTAAAAATGTGTTTTTTAGGATAGTGCCTTTCATTTTTGCTTATTTCTACGTGAAATAACAACTCATGTTTAATTAAATATATTCACACTTTACAGGTTTAAAACAACCTCTGATAAAAAAAAAACATGCACATGTAACAATGATGACAATATTTGGAGTTGAACATTTAAGACACTTGATCCATTGGCATCATCACAAATGTGTTCACACTATTGCTCAGTCTAGCAGGCACAACACCACATTAGCTAACATTTCCATTAATACAGACAGTCTAGGACATGTCTAATGGATTGACTATCTTCCTCATTCATGGGTCTGTAGAGACAGAAGAGATAGCCTTCCTCTCTATGTTGGCATGAATAATTTGGAGACTCAGTTCATTAATACTTTATGATTGTGGTAATATTTCATAGCTACACCGCCTGTCATAAGACTCCCTTTAAAGTATTAATAATACAGTGCTATTTTCAGAACAGTTTGCCTCCTCTCTGCATCAGTGCTAAGCACATATTACAGCAAAAGATAATCTATGTCTGATAATAACATGTATGAAATCAGACTAAACCCTATTAAAAAAATCTAAAGAAGTATATGCTGCTTATCCTGTACTGTAAGCCTTCACCTCCTCTAAAGTACTGATTAGGTATATGCAGCTACATCACACACTTTTTTTTTTAGGTGGCACAATGCAGGGTAAGAATAACCAACAGTATGATATTAAATTAGTACAGTAAGATATTACATTTGTATAAATTAGTATATACAATGATTAAATAACAAAATTATTGATGTGATGATTTTTTTATATAATATGTGACCCTGAACCACAAAACCAGTCTTGAGTCGCTGGGGTATATTTGTAGCAATAGCCAAAAAAACATTGTATGGGTCAAAATTATCGATTTTTCTTTTATGCCAAAAATCATTGGGATATTAAGTAAAGATCATGTTCCATGAAGATATTTTGTAAATTTCCTACTGTAAATATATCAAAACTTGATTTTTGTTTAGTAATATGTATTGCTAAGAACATCATTTGGACAACTTTAAAGGCGATTTTCTCAGTATTATGATTTTTTTGTACCCTCAGATTCCAGATTTTTAAATAGTTGTATCTCGATCAAATATTGTCCTACACTAACATACCGTACATCAATGGAAAGCTTATTTATTCAGATTTCAGATTATGTATAAATCTCAATTTCGAAAAATTGACCCTTATGACTGGTTTTGTGGTCCAGGGTCACATTATTTGTCATATAATTGAGTGAAGTGCACTGCCTTTTGAAAGTTCGGGTTGAGTAAGATTCTCTTTATTACTTTTATTCAGCAAGAATGCATTAAATTGATCTAAAGTGACAGTAAAGACATGGCTTCTGCAAAAATATTAAGCATATGTTTTCAACATTAATAATAATAATAAATGTTCTTGAGTAGCATATAATGCATATTAGAATGATTTCTGAAGGATCATGTGAAACTGAAGACTGGAGTAATGCTGAAAATGAACAGGAATAAATTAAATTATAAAATATATTCAAATAGAAAACAGTTTTGAAATTGCGAGAATATTTCATAATATGACTTTTTACAGTATTTTTGATTACATAAATATAGCTAATGTGCTGAGAATTAGAGACATTTCAAAAACATCTCTCCAACCCCAAACTTTTGAACAGTAGTGTATTCCTTTAAATGTAATATCAGCCAAAATTCAAGAAACCGTAATCAGAAACATCTGTGCGCTTTTTTCACCAGTAATTCTGTTCGAATCAATCAATTCCACACTTAACTTGAGACTGACATGCTTGTAAAAACTCAGTGGGTTGAAATGACAGAGGCTCCATCGCCTGCTATTTCATCTCGACCTTCCCGCACGCCAAATCTGAGGACGTCTGCCATCAGAGAAACCCAGAAACCCAGACTGAAGAGCCAAACCCTGAGCCCTGGGCATGTTCTACTGCGAAACTTTACTGCTGTCACCAGCAGCTGTGATAATCCTGTTCCAGATCAATATAGGTGGCACAATGCAGGGTAAGAATAACCAACAGTATGATATTAAATTAGTACAGTAAGATATTACATTTGTATAAATTAGTATATACAATGATTAAATAACAAAATTATTGATGTGATGATTTTTTTATATAATATGTGACCCTGAACCACAAAACCAGTCTTGAGTCGCTGGGGTATATTTGTAGCAATAGCCAAAAAAACATTGTATGGGTCAAAATTATCGATTTTTCTTTTATGCCAAAAATCATTAGGATATTAAGTAAAGATCATGTTCCATGAAGATATTTTGTAAATTTCCTACCGTAAATATATCAAAACTTCAGTTTTGACTAGTAATATGCATTGCTAAGAACTCCATTTGGACAACTTCTAAGAACATCATTTGGACAACTTTAAAGGCGATTTTCTCAGTATTATGATTTTTTTGTACCCTCAGATTCCAGATTTTTAAATAGTTGTATCTCGATCAAATATTGTCCTACACTAACATACCGTACATCAATGGAAAGCTTATTTATTCAGATTTCAGATTATGTATAAATCTCAATTTCGAAAAATTGACCCTTATGACTGGTTTTGTGGTCCAGGGTCACATTATTTGTCATATAACACTTAAAAAAAATAATATATATATATATATATATATATATATTAATAAAATGATTGATGTGATGATGACGATGGACTGAAGCAATGCTGCAAGATAATTATATATTTGTTTAAATAGAATAGAAGTTTATATTCAAAATCCACCTGGCTCAAAAATCGAGGGGTGCATGTCTGACACTTCTGGGTCAAGGCTTGTGAGTATGAATATAGGCAAGCAGAGACAATGGGTGATACCTTGAAAATATGATATTCAACCAGACTTTTCTTTTAAACTAAATAAAAGGAAAGTATGAGCAGAATGTAATGTAAATAAATAAGTCATTCTAGGATTAAAACGGAAGCAATAAGGTGATGTCAGAGGTAGTCAACACTTAGCTGCAACATATAAATATGCTAATGACATCTCTGACTAATAAAAAAAAAGAAATTCAGCATTATGAAATACAGCTAATTTCTAATTAAATTCCACTGCAATATTTTGTCATGGTCAAACAAACCAAATGAAGATGATCTCCAAACCAATTATTTTATATATATATACGGTATTCAGTTATAACTGTCACTGTCTTATTTTATTGTTGTAAATTTGATATTCACTCAGCTACATAATAGGTTGGAGAAAAACTATATTACCAAGAATGTTTTCCACAGTTGTGTGTGTGTGTGTGTGTGTTTATGATCACTTTACAAGTGAGTGTCTGTAAACATGGTTTGCTCCTTCTTCACTGAGCTGTAGCTTTTAATCGTCTCCCCAAACTCCTCATCCCCCACATACTGCAAAAAACATAACAGTTATCATCAGCTAGGATCATTCCTTCACCAGGCAAACTGAATAGACTGTTGGTACACATCAGAAATGTTTATAAAAGTAAATATACAGAAGTTGTTTGCAACATTTGGACTTTTTACATGACTGTGATTGGTCATTTGTGCCATTCTATTTGACTAAATATTCTTTTATAACGTCCACTGAACTATAAATGACCATTGTCCATGAAAACCATTTTTCCCACACTACCATTCAAAAGTCAGTAAGATTTTTGAAAGACATTTCTTGTTCACCAAGGCTGCATTTAATTAATCAAAAATACAGTAAAAACAGTAATATTATGAAATTTTACTACAGTTTAAAATAAAAGCATTCCATTTTAATACATTTTATTCCTGTAATGCAAAACTGATTAGTCATTACTCCAGTCTTCAGTGTCACATCATCCTTCAGAAATCATTCTAATATGCTGATTTGCAGCTCAATGTTGAATAAAAAGTTATGTAGCTTGATATTTTTTCTGAAATTTGTAATACAAGATTCTAGTATATGAAAAGAAAGTTAAAAAAACAGCATTTATTGTAACAATGTAAAGTCTTTACTGTCACTTTGATCAACTGCATCCTTGCTGAATAAAAGTATAATAATACAAAAATAAAACTCTTGAACAGTAGTGTACATATTTCTTTTGTCACTCTGTATAATGTAATATTTTATCTCAAATAAACATCATATCCATTTATTTATTTACTTGTAAAGTTAGAACCCCTTTAAGGGCAACACAAGACCTCTCCACACCACTTTTTATTGTTTTTACTCACAGTTATGACTGACTGTACACTACCCCTTATAACAAAAATTCTACATCATCATCGTCATCAACTCACCATGCCGCTGTCAGTGCCGTGCAGGTCAGCGTCCCATGCTCCACCGCCCAGAGATTTCTTATCCTGCGTGTCGATCAGCTGACTAACACTCCGATGCAAGGAATTCTGGGAATAGGCATGGCTGAGCTGGCTCTGGCTGGGAACACGCAGTACAGACATGCTAGCCTGATAGCTGTGGTTGCTGGTGCCTCCGATTTTAGTGTCAGTCAAACTCTGATCACAACACACACATAACTGCACACTCAGTCTGTCAATCACATGCAGCAGAGACAGTCACTTCCAACTGATGACCAAATGTCAACAATAAGCCACTAAATGAGAAGGGTTGTGCATTAATAAATATTGCAACCACTGCATGCAGTGCCACTCGACAGCAAAACAAACCCCAAAGCATAATGGAAAGTGAATGCAATCTCTAATAAGAATAGTAACACAGATTAAAAAAAGAAACTTTTGTATATTTGTGAATAAAAATGGAGAGAGGTGCTTGAAGGTGCAAATGGAACAAAAGACATTCGTGTCTGTAGCACATAAACGTACACAAGTATTTGTAATTAGTATAAGAAACAGTAATAGTGACAGTTGCCTTTAAACTAAATAAAAGGAAAGTATGAGCAGAATGTAATGTAAATAAATAAGTCATTCTAGGATTAAAACGGAAGCAATAAGGTGATGTCAGAGGTAGTCAACACTTAGCTGCAACATATAAATATGCTAATGACATCTCTGACTAATAAAAAAAAAGAAATTCAGCATTATGAAATACAGCTAATTTCTAATTAAATTCCACTGCAATATTTTGTCATGGTCAAACAAACCAAATGAAGATGATCTCCAAACCAATTATTTTATATATATATACGGTATTCAGTTATAACTGTCACTGTCTTATTTTATTGTTGTAAATTTGATATTCACTCAGCTACATAATAGGTTGGAGAAAAACTATATTACCAAGAATGTTTTCCACAGTTGTGTGTGTGTGTGTGTGTGTTTATGATCACTTTACAAGTGAGTGTCTGTAAACATGGTTTGCTCCTTCTTCACTGAGCTGTAGCTTTTAATCGTCTCCCCAAACTCCTCATCCCCCACATACTGCAAAAAACATAACAGTTATCATCAGCTAGGATCATTCCTTCACCAGGCAAACTGAATAGACTGTTGGTACACATCAGAAATGTTTATAAAAGTAAATATACAGAAGTTGTTTGCAACATTTGGACTTTTTACATGACTGTGATTGGTCATTTGTGCCATTCTATTTGACTAAATATTCTTTTATAACGTCCACTGAACTATAAATGACCATTGTCCATGAAAACCATTTTTCCCACACTACCATTCAAAAGTCAGTAAGATTTTTGAAAGACATTTCTTGTTCACCAAGGCTGCATTTAATTAATCAAAAATACAGTAAAAACAGTAATATTATGAAATTTTACTACAGTTTAAAATAAAAGCATTCCATTTTAATACATTTTATTCCTGTAATGCAAAACTGATTAGTCATTACTCCAGTCTTCAGTGTCACATCATCCTTCAGAAATCATTCTAATATGCTGATTTGCAGCTCAATGTTGAATAAAAAGTTATGTAGCTTGATATTTTTTCTGAAATTTGTAATACAAGATTCTAGTATATGAAAAGAAAGTTAAAAAAACAGCATTTATTGTAACAATGTAAAGTCTTTACTGTCACTTTGATCAACTGCATCCTTGCTGAATAAAAGTATAATAATACAAAAATAAAACTCTTGAACAGTAGTGTACATATTTCTTTTGTCACTCTGTATAATGTAATATTTTATCTCAAATAAACATCATATCCATTTATTTATTTACTTGTAAAGTTAGAACCCCTTTAAGGGCAACACAAGACCTCTCCACACCACTTTTTATTGTTTTTACTCACAGTTATGACTGACTGTACACTACCCCTTATAACAAAAATTCTACATCATCATCGTCATCAACTCACCATGCCGCTGTCAGTGCCGTGCAGGTCAGCGTCCCATGCTCCACCGCCCAGAGATTTCTTATCCTGCGTGTCGATCAGCTGACTAACACTCCGATGCAAGGAATTCTGGGAATAGGCATGGCTGAGCTGGCTCTGGCTGGGAACACGCAGTACAGACATGCTAGCCTGATAGCTGTGGTTGCTGGTGCCGATCTTAGTGTCAGTCAAACCCTGATCATGAAAACACATATGATATCAATATAAAGCACAAATACACACATAACTGCACACTCAGTCTGTCAATCACATGCAGCAGAGACAGTCACTTCCAACTGATGACCAAATGTCAACAATAAGCCACTAAATGAGAAGGGTTGTGCATTAATAAATATTGCAACCACTGCATGCAGTGCCACTCGACAGCAAAACAAACCCCAAAGCATAATGGAAAGTGAATGCAATCTCTAATAAGAATAGTAACACAGATTAAAAAAAGAAACTTTTGTATATTTGTGAATAAAAATGGAGAGAGGTGCTTGAAGGTGCAAATGGAACAAAAGACATTCGTGTCTGTAGCACATAAACGTACACAAGTATTTGTAATTAGTATAAGAAACAGTAATAGTGACAGTTGCCTTGGCAAGTACCACTAATGAGGAAAAGGGCAAAACATGCCAATGCAGCAGGCCATAATCTATTCTGAAATACATCCCAGAGAGCCTGTACCTCAGTGTGCATGGCAAAACGCTTTAGTGTTATACTGCAGGAGGAGTCCGGTATATTGTCAAACTGGGAAGAGAAGAAAGAGAGGAGTGGGCTTACCATGGGTGCATCAGGCTGAAGCAGAGCAGTAGAAGCATGGTTAGAGCAGAGTTCAGAGGAAGGTCTCTGGAGCAGCAAGAACAGCGCAGGACAGAGAGAGTTAAAAAGACACACAGCAGATTTAAAGAGAAAGGCCACAGTTTAAAGGGATAGTTCACCCAAAAATCTAAATTTGAAGATCTGAAAATGGTCTCATTCTCAGGCCATCCAAGACGTAGATGAGTTTGATTCTTTATCAGAACAGATTTGAAGAAATGTAGCATTACATCAGTTCACAGTTAATTGATGGACTGGAGCCGTGTGGATTATTGTGATGTTTTTATCAGCTGTTTGGACTCTCATTCTTACGGCACCCATTCACTGCAGAGGATCCACTGGTGAGCAAGTGATGAAATGCAATGAAATTTCTCCAGATCTGTTGTAATCAAGAAAAGAAAACTCATCTACATCTTGGATGGCCTGAGGGATTTTAAGTAAATTTTAAATTTTGGGTGAACTATTCCTTAAAAGGTTGGGAGTGTTTATCTGGCTCTTAGCAACCAGACAGCAGCCAAGTTCAAATTTATTTGATCAATCTTTAAAGAAAAAAAAACAGTGAAATATTATTACATTTTCTATTTTAATACATAAAAAATTTTTTTCGTGATGGCAAAGCTGAATTTTCAGCATCATTACTCCAGTCTTCCGTGTCACATGATCCTTCAGAAATCATTCTAATATGCTGATTTGATGCAACAAGAAACATTTCTTACTTATTAATTTTTAACATTTTTGTGGAAATTGTGATGCTTTTTTTTAGGATTCTATGATGAATAGAAATAGTATTTTGTAACTATAAATGTTTTACTGTCACTTTTGATCAATGAAATACTTTTATTCAGGATATAAATTTCTAAAAAAAAAAAAAAAAACTTACTGACCCTATACTTTTGAATGGTTGTGTATAAATAGTAAGATTAATATGCTAATCTGAACAGTCATTGCCTTTATGACTATGACATTGCCATACAATTGCAGTAGGAAGAGCAGTGTTATCACTCCCTCTTCTGGACATCTGAAAGAAGTGCATGATGCAGCTTTGAGTGCAAACATTTGTGCAAGCATAATTGAGAATGAAAAAAAAAAAGAGTAATCTTTTGTATTTCACCTCTACAATCTAGCATACACCTTTGCAAAAAAAAAAAAAATGGTAGAACAAGTTAGAGCAAGCTTTACAGACCTAGTTAATTACCATTAGAAAATAATTTTTCTCTCACCAGATAGGTGTCATTAGGCGGATACTTGGTACTTCTCCTCTGAAGGGGCACTATTGGAGGTCTCTCCCTGATGAAGGGGGGCTTGCTTAGGGCTCTTCTCAGCACCAGACCCATTAACAGAGCCAACAGCAGCAGCCCCAGGAATGCCATAAGAATGATGAACCACAACTCTGAATAGAACTGGTATTCAGCCCCATTCAAACCTGTTTTACCTCCAGAACTCGACTCCACGGCATCTGTGGGGAACAGATGAGATGCTCAGATAAGAAAAAACCACAGAGAATGGATAAAAACATAATACAAATATTATATATATATCTTAAATGGAAGGAGTTTACCAACTACTCCACAGCTAAGACAACTAGGTTTTACTCTCAATAATACGGAAAAAAGTAAATTCTCTTTTATTCATAATTAATAACTGTTTTTATTATTAAGAGTAAATTAAGATATGGATTCAAGTATCTCACAACCTTTTACATTTTATTATGTGCACCATATGAGATATGTAAAATACGTAATGCGTTTCACCACATGAAGGTCTGGAGCTTTGAAAGTAGTTAAAATACCTGCAACGAGACAACAAGGGCTGCTACATCCACAGATTTTGCTGTATTCATCAAGTGTGACTTAGCCCATTTGTTATATTGAAATTCCTAAAGTGTTTGTGTTTATTTACTCGCCAAAACCAATGGTGTGAACGGCACTTTGATGAAGTTTATGAGTTTGCAACACTGATATTGGCTCTGCTCAGAAAGAATGGAGACACTGCCCGGTCACCTGCCAGGCCGGAGTAAACGTACCTATACCAGTGGCCGTGTTGTATTTAATGACAGGAGAGCTGGCACTGCCGCTGTCAGTGGTGCAGGTAACTTGAAATGCAAAGGCTGAAGAGAAAAGCGACAAAAAAGATGATGAGAGAAGGGCCCAAAGAAAGAGAACTAGTGAGCTTCACAATAAGATGGGCCCAGCCAGAGGTCAAAGTATAACCATATGGGCATACATTTATCAGAGGTGCGTGGGATGTGCAGAGAGCTGTGGAAGCCGCTGTAGATGCGCAGATTGTTCTCGGTTAGGCTGTATTCTCTCAGAGGCCCGTTCAAAGAGAAAGAGCCGCTCCAGTCCACAAATACTGTGGTGATGTTACTGTGCACCACAAATGGCTCTTTATATTGAGGAGCTACAAAGAAATCACAAGAGAGGGGTTTGATTTAGGTGCCATAATTTTTGAAAAACATTTTGGTAAAAGGAATGACTAGTATGGCATTTCTAATTTGTTAGCAACATATAATCAGAGCCATACGAGAGTCCCGAAGAGAGTCCTTACATTCATTGAGTGTGGTGATTGAGACCCAGTCAGACGCAGTGCTGCCCATGTTATTGTAAGACACTACACACAGCTCATAGTTGGCATAGGGCAGTAGGCCAGTGATGTTGAAGCTCTGTCCCATTCCAAAGAACTTGATCTCCACAGGGCCGACGACACAGGTTACAGGGACAGGCTGCAGTGGCTGAGGACAGGATGATCGGACGTGGAGCTCACAGCTACAGAGATGAAAGTGAAAGGGACAAATATTTATGCTTTAGTACAACCTTAATACACTACCATTCAAACGTTTGGGGTCAGTATGATTTCTTTTAAAAGAAATTAATACTTTTATTCAGCAAGGACAGATTAAACTGATCAAAAGTGACAGCAGATTTTTATACTGTTACAAAAAAGGTTTCCACAAAATATTTAGCAGCACAACTCTTTTCAACTTTGATAATAATAAAATAAAAAATAAAAAGTGTCCTGAGCACCAAATCAATGTATTACTGCAAAATGCATTTTGAAGGATCATGTGACACTGAAGACTAGGAATAAATTATATTTTAAAATACATTCAAAACGTATATCAGTTTGACTTTATTTTGATTAAATAATTGCAGCATCGGTGAGCATAAATTATTTTCAAAAATATTTTTAAAAATCCTGATCTGATCCTGGCACAATATGTAAGATTTTTTTATTAAAATATACAAAACCCACTGAAACAGTGTTATATATTTTGCTGACTTGTGTACTTACATTATCCCAGATGTTTCGAAGAATGTTTAAATCCAGAGAAATAAGCAATTTTAACTAGTGACACGGACCGTGTCTATAGTGTCATTGTGTCGCCTGCCAATGACGTCAGAACCCCTTGATTTTGTTTTGTAGAAAACATGGAAACACCAAAGACGCTTTAATATGTTGTGCGTTTTATTAGACCGGTGACGACCGCACAGGGTAGCATTATAACAGAACTTTCAAACGTATCTAGTATGATAAAACAGCGCTGCTTTACCCCACATACGCATGACCAGAAGGAGCAGAAGCGCTAAAGTGTGGCATAATAAAAGCTCAACTGCTTTCGAGCCGTGTGTCACTCTTGTCCCTCATTAGCAATTGCTTCAGCGACCTCGTTTCGCTTTGAGGGCTTTCCGCCTCACTCTGCTTCATACTACGATGTTAATAAATCTTTAATACATTAGCTCATCCATAAACATGATTTGTGCCTGATTCCCGTCGGATTTCGTTGGCTGTAGGGATGAAGATGACAACTCCCATGATTCCACACTCACAGCGTCATCAAACTATGCCTTTGTTTCTTTGTTTGTTTTGAATATGCACCCTCTAGCGGTGAAAACTTACATATTGTACCTTTAATATTTATATCTTAATGGTGAAGTGGGTAATTTTGCTGCTAGTGGCACCAAATGGATTTCCTCAGTCCTGCCCCAAACTCATACCATTGGTTGTTGTATTTCTAGGCCAAACTGCTCAAATGAACAGGGCAATATTTTGATGATTTGAATACTTGAGAAAATATTTTAACATTTTAGAAATCACACACTTCAGCCTTATATATTAATATAAAATGTTAGCCTAATCATGATTATATTAAGTTATCCATTTATTATATTATGCAAAATACATATTTGTACCTTTCAATGATGCCATTGGGCTGAAGAGGCATGTCCCACTCCACCAGAGCTGAGCGGGAGGTAAGGGCGATTAGATGTGGCAGGGGCTGCTGGGCCGGGGCAGAGGCCTGAGTGCGGAGCTCACTTAAGGGACCTCGGCTGCAGCACAGGAAACAGGTGCAGGCCTCCACACCTACAGAATACACAGTGAAGGGCCTAAGACCATGGAGAGTTTGCTGGTGGGACGTCCCCTCAGACAGCTGCAGACACAGATATGAAAGCGTTAGTTCCAGTTTTGTACTATAAATTCTAATAATCTAAATCCTCAGTTGCTTATATGTAGTTGGTATATGTATATGTAAGAATACATATTTTGTACTTGATGTACCAGCTGGTATGAGTCTTTGTTTTGTGCAAAGACTCTGTAGAGGCTGACAACGCCATTTGGCTTGGTGGGTGGGCTGATATCCACCACAGCTGAGGTGGCGTGGATGTGCAAGAATTTAGGCGGGCTCAACCCCGCTGGAGGAGCTGGACCTGTGCGACCTTGAGCCCAGGGGCTACCAGCACGACCTGCTGAGTTTACAGCCCACACCTAGATGGTCAAAATTAAACAACACACGAAATCAGGTATTTAATTACATGTATGTATATCTAAAATAATAACAATTATTAGTAAATATAATAGTATATTATTATTAATAAAGTTATAAAATAAAAAAATATAATAAAATTGTATTAATATTATTATTATTATTATAACATAGTACACGTACATAAAAAACAGTTCAAACTACTTCACAGGTCAGAATGTGCAAAAAACATCATGAAAAATAACAGTAAAAGCATAAAATATATAAAAACGATGAAGTGGGGAAAATGGATATAATGACAAAAAAGAGAAAATGAAAATAATCAATTAACTTACAAAAACACCCCTTTGTATTCATTTTAAAAATGTTAAACTTGGAGCTTGTCTTATTTAAATATTAAAGGGGAAACTCTCCACTGGCAAGATGGCCTTTTAATAAAACTTGGTTGTCTATGTAGTAGAAATGTGTTTCCATTTTTTATTTTTTTTTAATCAGTGCTATATGAAAAAAGAAAACAGAGAAAAGGGGGCTTTGGCATATCCCATTTTGCAAGAAACTTCAACACTCATAATGCACTTTTGATTTTGGCGTCACCCCTCTGTTGCGAGTACACATTGTTCATACTACTGACATAAAGCTGGCTGAAAAAATATCCTTTAAATGTATTTAAGAACAATTTTGCATTTTTGAGAGCTTCTTCTCTCATTTTTACTACTTGCTAGACCACAGCTCTAACATGTAGCATCATTTTTTCTGTGCTGTTTGAGTCACCCTACCTTTTTTTCGAGACACACTGGTATAGATATGCACGAGAAAAGAATGGAAATTTTGTGTGCAAAGCTACAGGTGAGTGTATTGAGACGCCTGTGGTCTCTCTCACACCTGCAGGGCCGATATAAGACCGGATCTGATACCGACACCAGCTCTGAAATGGCCTAGCAGACAAAACAGAGAATCGGCACCATCTTCCTCTTAAAGAGGAGTCACCTTCACCTGATGAACCCACCTGACGCCTTTTGCAAAAGGAAACTACCCATTCAACTACTTTGAGGAGTCAGTAGTCTTGCACTCTCGAAGCCCTGCTGTCATTAATAGCCAAAACATCAGCATCCATTACAGAATCACTCCGGCCTGAATCTACATGAAAATTAAATTTCACCTTCATCAAGGAGTAAATGAACACATGGAAAGGTGAAGTAATCTTATTTACTAGACGAGCTGTTTGTATAATTACACAGAAAGAGTAGGAAAAGGTCAGCTGGGGTCGCTATTTGCATGAGTAAGTAATTTGTAGATTGTCAGTTATAATAGCAGCGGCAGATGGATGTTCCTGTGGATAGGGTTAAATTAGCCTCAATAATAGGCAATTACACCGTGATCAATCCAGATGATAGATCTAAGTGGCAATTCACATGGACTGCACGAGACACTGGCTGATTTCACATTCCCATACGAACCCATTCCACTGCCAAAGTGACGACTAGACGTGTCGAAGCGCAAAGGGGGAGACAGAGGTGTTGCAGGGCGACAGAAGAGAAAGAGGGCGGTCATGGAAACAGCCTCTTGTCACCCAAAGTGAGAAAAGGTCACGTTGGCAGTAAGACAGTGAGGAAGAAAGAGTGGCGGTATGCTTGTGCCAAAAAGCGGCGGTATGGATGAGTACAGGACAAAGAAATGCGATAACCTTAATTTTTCACTGATAAATCTTTCCGATTCCCAGATAGGAATTTAGAGAAAAGAGATATAGGCGCTACGTTTTAAAGTGGAGTCAGCCAGGACATCTTCATGCCCTTGTATGCGGTGCAGACGTTTTATTGCCACCGAAGCACTTGCATACAGAGCTGTAATTAACGCGGGAAAATAAAACTATTTCATGAGCGAGCTCTAATGGATGTGAGTGTACACCGCTAGGACTGAATCTGCCCGGAGACAGGTCCTCATTGGCTGTGGCTACGCCCCCAGTCATGGACACGGGGCCAAGAGTTCCCTTTTCTGTTATGAGCACTAGGCTAATTAAGATTTGACATAAAAGTGTCAATAAAATATGTAGCCTCTTAACATGGGATGGGTTTGATTTCACAGGGACACATGCCCTTGTGTGAGAACGAGTAAAATGAAACACAACAAAAAGGGAGACTCCATGACATTAGAACAAAAACATTAAAGAAAGTGGTAGCCCTGACTCCCTCAAACACTGAACGGTCAACAAACAGCAATTTATACTGTTAAATAAGCAGACATAGACATAAGTTCAATGACGCATCCAGTATAGTTAGCAACCTCCCCGGGGAAAGCCAATAGGTATTAAAAGGTCTTTCCGATACTTGTATATTTGGGAGGCCTAACAACTAATTCAGTGGCTTCGATCGTAATCGTCAGCATTCAGCCAGGCCCAGATTAATGGCCCTGTCGCTTGTCTGTCATCACTCAGCTCTGCCCGCCAGCTGTCATAAATTACCACTCATAAATAAGATGGAACAATCAGGCAAACTCTATCAATTTAGTCCTGATCAGCCCACGCCTCTCAGGCCTGACAGTCAAATGCTAATGTTATTTTGCTCCAAAGGCTAGGCTGTCAATTAAGAAAGGTCTCGTAAGGCGATGGCGGTGCGATGAATATAGTGAGTTAGATTAAACGCCTGTCTATGTGAATGAGAGAGTATAGATGAGCAGAACGTTAAACACAACAGCAACAAATAATCATGCTAGCTAATTAATATATTCCTTGAGGACAAGTTTATATTTGGCTGATTTAATCATGTTTCTTTGCATGATTACACTAAAATATTATGTATCATAAGAATAAACTATGAAGTATCACAAAGTCTAGAGGGATTATTTTATATTCAGGATGCATCATGCAATAGACAGACTTGCAGCAGTGTTTATATTGTTAACTAAAACTATTTAAAAAAATGTGTTAATTAAAATAAAGCTGAAATAAAATAAATTACATAAATATTAGATGAAAAACTTAAAAATCTTAAATGAAAATTAGAAATACTCTCTTGGCAACTAACAGAAATAAAACAGGTTTAAGATACTAAAAAAGTACTAAAATGACAAACTATATAAATACTATAATCTAATATAAATCGTACACTGTAGTATTTATAATATTGTATAAATAACACTGACTTAAAGCGACAACCTAGCAACCATTCAGAACACCTTAGCAAATGTATGGCAACCCTCTGTCAAATATCCACAAGCTTACAGACAAGAGTCACATTTTCTTGAGAAAATATAAAAAGTATGTTCATTCTTTGTGTAATATAACAATTTAGGTATAAAAAGTTAAAATCACATTCACCAATGACAGTCGATTCTGAAATTAGGAATGTAAAATTCATCTGAGTGAAATGAGAAAAAGCGGTGTGACCTGGTATTCGTAGGATGTGTAGGGCAGGAGTTTGTCATCATGGCAGGATGTTGAGGAGTTGCGGTAGACCAGTGTAGTTACAGATCGGCTTTCCTTGTTTAAAGCGTGTTTTCGGTATAGCTCGTAGTGCAAAAGTTTCCCATTTGGCTCAGCTGGAGGAGACCAGGACAGCAGAAAGACTGTCTGTATGCCCTTAGGGTTAGTTTGCAGCTCCAGCAGCGGGGCAGGTTGTCCAGCAGGAGGCGACTCAAGCGTCTGTATTGAAGACCAGTCACTAGCAGCGCAGCCTAACAGGGTGCAGGCCTCCACTCTTACCTCATACCTGCAAAAATACGTAAACAAATAATAAAAATAAATATTAAATACATCATTTCTAAAAATAAAGAATAACAACAGGTAAAAAAAACATTGATAGGGCATATATGAAAATAAATAATACATTACGCCAAATATATAAACAATAAAACACTTTTTTCCCCCTCAAAATATCAATGTACAATGCTTTTTTACCTCAGTTTCATCAGTACCATTTTTTTATTGGATTTTGAATATTTAGGTATATAAACAATTTTTGTGCTTATCCTAGTAAAACGCGCTGTTATTTATCAACAGTATAGACAACGAACAGTTTTGTCCTTCGGAAGGTCACCAGCGATGGACTGAAGGAGAAAAGGGAGAGAAGAGAGGAGAGCAGGAGAATAAAGGGAAGGTCGTCTGAAAGAGGCAATGAGTGGCGAGTTGATAATGCTGATGAACCATTATCATCACCCCACTTATCTGGATTTTCACTTCAACATACGTATACAGCTCCAGACTTTAGTCATCCCTCATTTGAGTGCCTCCTCCATCTGACCGTCTTTGTCTATGCCAAGGATGGAAACATTAGAAAAGGCTCAAGGTTGACTCCCTCCCCCTCTAAGATTATCTCTCTCCTTTTCTTCCTTCTCTCATTTGGTTTTATCAGTGTGTCTTTCTTTAGTGCAGCAACAGAAAAAGTCTGACCAGCTAATTGAGATTAAGATTTGCAGCTAGACATATTTAACAGGTATTAATTAAAGAAAATATCTACTTACAATTGTATTTAAAGATGCTTTAAGTACTCTGTTAGTTGTTTATTTATCTATCTTCAGCCACAAATGTTAGGGGTTGCCTTACAATATACCTTGCATGCCCAAATTCCCTCACCCTGAGTAAACAGTGTCAGTGCTGCATGCTGGTATTTTACCTGTAGTAGGCCTTTAGTGCAGTAAGGGAGAAGCTCTGGCTCTGAAACGCACTGTGGTGTGAAGCGAAAATGAAGCGTTTCACGTCGGGCTCAGCTGGGTCCCGTTTGTAAAGCGAGTAGCTGATGATGACCCCGTTAGGTCGTGCAGGGGTGTCCCACTGCACCATAATGCTGAATGGCCCCAGAGCCTGCAGTCTGGGGGGAGCCACACCAGAGGGCGCTGAAGACTGCGTCCTGGCCACAGTTGGCAGACTGGTAGTGGCTCCTTGACTGTTATTGGCAGTGATGGTGTAGCTGTACGCGACGCTTGAAAGTAAGGTGAAGTCATGGTAACGGGTGTCCATGCCAGTGTAAATGAGGCTCCCGTTTCGACGGAGCTCGTATCCTATGATTACTCCATTGGGCTGGATGGGCTCTCTCCACGTGACCTCAACCGATTCAGGGCCTGTGACTTTTAGAGATGGGGCAGGCATCCCTGAAGGTGGTGCTTCTCTTGTCAGGACTGAAGTGGGCGAACTGGCAGTGCAGCCACCATTGGTGCAAGCCATCAAGATGAGGATGTAGGAAACATGTGGCTGTAGATCCAAAACCTGTGCACTTAACCGTTTACCTCGGTAGACCTCCTCATCTTCAATTTTGAGAATATACACCACAGTCTCACCATTCTGGATGGATGGAACAGACCATGACACATTGAGTGAATAGGAAGTGACATCAGACACCGTAGGCGGCTTTACGTTGGCAGGGGCGGCTTCTAATGTCCTGATCTGCGTCGGCTCACTGGTAACACACCCAGCAACGGTGCAGGCAATGACTGCGTAACTATAGAGAGTGTATGGAGTTAAATCCACATCAGTGTAGTTGAGCACACTTGAGTCAAAGCTGAAATGGAAGCCAACGCTGTCTCTCTGAATCCTGTAAGTAAGAAGAACACCATTGGGCTCCAAAGGAGGCGTCCAAGCTACGAAGACTTCATTAGGCTTGCCCTCTACATGACTGACAGCTGGAGGAGCCAATCCTCTAGGAGGAGCTTGTGTGGTTTGAACTGTGAGCCACGGGCTATTGGTATATCCTGCCGCGTTTGATACGCGCACTCGAAACTTGTACCTGCTCCAGGGCAAAAGTCCAGACATATTATAGGAGAAGCTGTTAGCTTGGGTGTTGTTCTGGATGAACACAATCTTGGCTCTCATTGAGTCATCTTCATCACTCCGTACCCTGCCATCCTCTAGACTTACAGCCAGAACCTGGTACTGCAGGATCCTGCCATTGGGGTGGGTGGGTGGATACCAGCGGAGCTCCACGCTGCGGGATTGAACCTGCTGTACCGTAGGAGCCGGTTGAGAGGACGGGGCGGCCTCCTCGGTGGTTACGCGTTGAGGTGCAGTCCTTGTACAGCCCGCTTCGGTGCAAGCTTCGAGAACGAGCGTGTACACAGTGTAGGGTTCCAGACGGCGGAACAGGAATTGACGTGCAAGCCCGCTGAACTCCAAGTTTTCCTCATTGAAGATATTGTACATCTGTGGAAATAAATATGTTACATGATGGCAGATTCTGGAGAGTGATATTGCAATGTTACCATCATTGAGAGGAGCATACTTTGATGACTCCATTTGGAGAGGCTGGTTCAGCCCACTGTAGAAGCAGCGCTCGGCCATGTTCTCTCTTCTCCACGCTGAAGTTAGCCAGGCCACTTGGAGAGGCTTCAAGGGTCTGAACGGTGGTCCAAGGACTAGGCACCTGACCTGCTCCATTAACTGCTTCTACATGCACATTATATGTGGTGTATGGCTCCAACCCAAAGACATGAGCCTGAAAAATGTTACCCTACAACACAAAAGACACAAATATAGTTCGCATATACAGTGAGTATAGAAAAGCGTCACCCCTCCTTTAAAATAATCACATTTTGTTGCTTTGCAGCCTGAAATGAAGATGGACAGAGTTTTTGTTTTATCCAGCTGTATTTACTCAGTGCAACTTATAACATCCAAGTATAAGACCAACATGTCAGAAAAAAAACAGAATCACTGAGTTGGAAAAAAATCACCCCTCTCCTAAAAATGACTTGTAAACTCAATCAGGTGTAGCTAATCACCTTCTCAATGGCACACAAAGCTATTTGACTTTCAACTGTGATCAGCTGTGGTCATTTTGATCAGCTCAGCATGAAAAGAGCTTTCTTGGAGCATTTCAGTCCTTGGCAGTGCAACTGAAGCAAACAATCAACTATGGGTGGCAAGGCACTGTGGACAGGCACAACTTTATCCCAGTGATTATTTTCTATACCCACAGTACATAGCCATATTATCATTATTATTTATAAAATTAAGTAATTAACAAAAACATACTTAATAATTAAAGAAATTTTATTTTATTTATTATTATTATCTACAGCATACATTACGTAATGTATATATCAATAAATGCATTATATACATTTTTCATGAATGCAGTACTCATGAATAGATCAAGAATGCAAAGGTGGACAAAACAAAACAAAAGCTTTTAAATCACCATGAAAAGCCTAATATAAAACGATAATTAAATAAAGGAATGCAACACTGTCAGCATCCATGGCAAATGTTAGTTTTGTAAATAGATGTTTGCTTTTAAAACACTACCTTTTTATGTGGTTGAAAAATTGAGAACATTTGGACTATAAACCAGCAAACATATACACATTGTCAATAGAGACAGCTGTTTCATTTCACTTTATTTCAGCACAGAGACTTATATCCTGCCCCTAGATGGCAATGCTATCAAACACTTTCCTAAACATGGGCATCAAGACATTAACAAGCAGGCGCTCCCTCATCCAGGATACTCAAGGCAGCCATTAAAAAGCGACTAAGAGAACTGATTTTTGTTATAGATTTCCAAATAAATGTTTATGGCACAGATCCCTAAAATGGGAAGTGTTTAAGTTTTGATTAAGAGAATTGGTTAAGCTGCCTTTTGGGATCCACCATACAATAAATTCTCAACATTACATTTCTTATTTCTTTCATTTCTTAGTCATGTATTTAAATGATATAAAACACACACTTTAAATTCTAAATAATACAAACAATATATTAAGATCCACTGCATATAAACCTGAAAGTGTACACCTCTATGTGGAAGCCAAAAGCAGCCAGGCTAGTGGACAAAAGCACTGAATTCAGACTTGCTTTAATTGAGGCAGAAAGAGGCCTCGCTGTTTTAAACATTAAAGAGGTATCAGAGTCAGAAGTGCATTTAGCATTAGCTCAGGGAATCAGTCATTTGTAAAGGGGAAAGAAGTCTTTTAAAGCCCTTTTTCTTTCCTCTTTTTCTCTTTCAACTGAACACAGGTCTCCCTTGTCTCATCAGCTGCTTACATATGTGTTATTTCCTGTGACAGCGCTGGGGGCTGCTTGGGCCAGGGGATGATTTTAATTAAGAATAACCATGTGGATTTGTCACAACAATTATGCTGATTAGATGAAAGTGGAGATTCCTGACCCTTCAAAGGTGTGGTACTGCTTCATTTGCATACAGTAGACATACTGTCCCGGCCTGCCACTGCTGACTTCAGCCTGAGCTGGATTTTATTAGTATCACGCTAAACAGCTACAGGGCCCAGGAAATGCCTCATCAAAAAGCATCAAATGGAGCCTTTGGTCATGTTTTAAGTAACCTACACTCTCTAACATCTCTGTCAGAAATGTATGAAAATTTTAGGCAGATAAAATGATGCACTGATGGATTTTGTTGTACGCATTATCATTGATCTGTGACTATCCCCAAATGTCTAACATTTATTTTTCATACACACAAAGATGCTTGAATAAAATGCAAATTCTTCTCTACACTGACATTTTATAACAAACCGAAGGAAAGATATTCATGATGCACATTGCCTGTGCTATTCACAGGCTGTCCATCCAAACAATTACAATTCTGTCTTCTGTGGAATACAAAAGGAGATATTTTTAAGAATGTTTCAAATTTTGTCCACACATTGAAAGTCAATGGGATCCAAAACAACATTAAACCCCACTGATTTTCATTAAATGGACAAATGTAAAAAAGTCAATTTATCTTTTGTGTTATGCAGAATAAAGAAAGTCATACAGTAAATTATGAGGCGCATTTTTGGTGAACTATCCCTTTAATACTAAAACCGCCCCACTGCTCTCATTCCTACCAGCACTTTAGTTTAGCTGTTGAGAAAGTCTACAGACTTTAGTGCATTTCAAAGCATCTTCGCTTTTGTTCTGCAGTACTAACAACTGACAACCAGTTCCTGAGATGCCTTGACATTATTAATTATTTGTGGTTTAGATGTAAAGTCCTGTTCAAGCCAAGCCTCAATCAGATGGAGGGCTCTTGAATCACTGAGCTGTTCTTCAGACTGGGCTGGTGTCTGATGAAGGAAACCCCTCATGCATGCAAACGCACACATACAGAAACAGAGGAAAGTACCGTTTACCTCCTCTGAATGAGGCTGAGTATGTATGACAATCAGGACTGTGAATGATGGAAGCTGTTTTCAGAAAATAAAAGCACACACAGTCAAGTGCGCCACTAACTTTAGCTCTTTAAATAAGAAATTAGATTTAACAGGCTCTCTCAGAGTGTTTACTTAGTACTACAATTCGAAAGCAGATTCTAGACAATATAATAGCAGACTAAAGCTTTTCAGTGTACCGTTTGGCCAACTGTCCATGTAATATTTTCTATATTATAGAATAAAATAATTATTTAAAAAGAAAATGTATATTATGTAAAAATATGATATTATATAAATATAAATTATTAAAATATTTGTATATATTATATAAAAAGTTTAAGTGACACCTATAAACATTTTTGAATCTTTAAGTTACACAAATAAAATGTGTCACCAGCCTGGTCTGAAACTACGAATGAGATTAAAGTTTGTGAAAGCTCAGAGGAATCCACTATCAAAATCCACAGACCGTCGGGAGCTCCCCTCTGTGTGTCCTTTCAGCAAATGAGCGCGGGTTCAACTAGGGTCCAAACGAGCTGCTCGCGGTTCTGCTCGGATCATTCTGCTCCCCTTCAACAGTGTGTATACGAGCCTACAAAAAAGACATGGTCCAACGCGCCGCCATCATGTTTATGCACTCTTCACTGTGTTCTTAATGATAAACTAACAGATTGTAAACATGCTGCCGGAGTTTCAAACCCCCCCGCCCCTCTTTTTTTTTTTCCTGTGCATTTTTTAAACAATGTCCTTCATGTTAGAGTGGTTACAGGCAGCAGAAGGACATCATTAGAGCCATGGTTAAACTGTAATTTACACCATTAGGAAGGCAGGAGCCATTTTTATTGCCTAGTAAATTTCAGCTCTGAAATATTTGGACCATATGGCTCAATTTGTGTAATAACCTTAATTTCTTGCACCCTTCAGGTCTGCCTGCATCTCCGCTTACCACTCCGACAGAGTCAGGCTTCTGTGCGCAAAAGGCGAAGCGTCTATAGAGCGGCGGTGGAGATTAATAAGGTGTCACGTCCTGTTTGGGTGAAGGCACTGGAACAGCAGCCAGATGGTATCTCTGCAAATGACTGTCAGGGGTCCTGATCTAATCAATAGGATGTATTAATACATCTCCCATCGCTGGGGTTCTCATGGGGCTGCTGAGCAACATCTGGAAAGATCAGGAGGGGGAGAGAGAGAGAGTAAGAGAGGCAGAGAGAGCAGTGGAAGCTACATACAGAAAGCAGAGGAAAAAGGAAATAGCGTTAAGAGGAAGAGAAAGTGTGAAAGCAAAAAAAAAAAAAAAAAAAGGAAGAGAGGAAGGGATGGAACAGGTCTGGTGCTGGCTGTGACTGGGCCTGCCTAATCTCTCATGTAGGCTTGATAAGTGTTCGGTAATGAGGGGCGTCTGCACACATGGTGAGGGAGGAAGCTTTTGGCGGCTAAGACCGCCTGTGCTCCGTAGCCTCATTCAGTCCCGCTGCCATGACGTCCACATTAATCACACGCACTGGCACGAGGTACGGCCCACTGCACAGCCAGGGATCAATAGCAGCCCCCCCCCCCCCCCCAAAAAAAAAAAAAAAAAGAAAAGTGGATGGGCATGCTCAGACCACAGAAGACCACAAGCTCTACTCTCTGTTAAAGCACTACTAAGCAGCATCACACCATCTGCTCCACGATCTGACTCGCCTCCACATACTATGTGTCTAAGCAATGGTTTATAAATTAAAATCAAATACGAAACATCTAGCACAAACTCTTTGGATTGATTTGATAACTACAGCATGTTTACTTGACAAGGCTCAACAATAAGGACAACCCATATGTTTTTGCGTTCCAAATAAACAACATTTGGTTTTAAGACATATTTTTTAAAAGTATTGTTTAGCATATTACAGTTTTGCTATCATTAAGACTAAAAATCTATAAAAATCGTATCTGGTAATTTAAATAAAGCAGAAATAAATAAAAAAAACAACCTATTAGATATACAATTTGAAATAATTTGGCAACTAACAGATATAAGTATGTTTAGGTTGAAGTACTAACATTGCTAAAACTAAAACTCAAATTATTAAAGTTATAAAAAAATATATATATTATATATTTAAAATAATATATATATATATATATATATATATATATATATATACTAAAATGCAAAAGCACATAAAAACTAAAACTATAATTAAACTCAAAATATACAAAAGGCTAACTAAAATATCATTACAAAACAAACAAACAAACAACAACAACAACAACAGTGTATTCTGCTGATGTAAATAAGCAACCAAGATAAAGTTATCCAGTATTGGAAGCATCATCTGAAATTGGTAAAAACTATTTAAATATTGGAATTTGTTCAATGATAAAATACATTTTTTTAAATAATTTTTCATTTATATTCTTTAATTGTGTTAATTAAACTATTTTTATATAGTTTCTATCTATAGAAATTATTTAATAGATATAAACTATATAAAACTTTATATAAAAACTGTTTAAACAATGTTTTATATAATATAATACAATATAATAATATGTATTATATTTAATGTTATATATATATATTATATATATATATATATATATATATATATATAATATTAAAAAATAAATATTAATCTATAGGTTCTTTAGTTCACAGCTTCATAAAATGTACAGATATTATTGCAATATTATATATAAAAATAAATTGATGTAATATTCTTATTATAATATATTGCTTGTTGAGGTTTTTTCTGTCAGATTTATAAGTGCATGTACTAGCAGCAATGACCAGTTTTTTTCTCTGCATGATCCATCATTCTCAGACATGAAAACAACTTTACTCCACCAGAGAACATTAACCTGTAGCCACTCAACAGTTGGCAACAGCTAAATCAATATGATGCCCCACTGCAGGCCAAGTATTGACATGGCAGCGGACAGCTGGTATAGCACAAAGTCAGTGTCCAAAAAAAGATTTTGCAGGATCGATGGATTATAAATGTAGCCGTGAGAAATTGCACTAATACCCACACTACAATTTCCCCATGGCAGCTGTTATGCGATTGGGCAGTGTCTTCAGTAGATGACCATGGAAAAACTCAGAGCAGTATGGGTAAATGACCTTTATATTGTAAACTCCTTTCTTTACATTACAAACAATTAGCCTGATTTTATCTGCTAGAAATCAAAAACTGAAAATACTAGTGCAATTTCTCAAGCAGCTTCAATAAGTAATGAAACAATATTTATTCCCAAAATGTATTCTTATAAAATTTACATTATACATTATATACTCTATAAAAATAAAATTTTAAATCATAAGTTATATTATAAAAATTTACAAAAAAATGCACAATTTGCAAAATGATAAATTTGCATCAGCCATTAGAAGGCCAGGGTCATAACTCAAGAGGGCTGAGGACACGTGGAAAATTAATTACAAGCTGATTAACTGCAATCTGAAGTCACACTTCACCACTGAAGCCGACCTTTGGAGGTCAAGAAAACCTGAAAGGACTGCAAAGAGAATAGAAGCGGAACTGTAAATTACTCTAGAAGAAAAGAGGGGTGCTGATAAAAGGCCTATCCTGGATGACGTTCATTAATTGCTATCAAAATAATTAATTTGTCTATTAGGCAGGCATCTATCTGGTGCTCTGTGGGAGAAGCTGAACTCCTCAGTGGGTTCTGGATTCTTTCCCCTATGGTGTTGCTGCTATCAGGGGGCAAGCTGGCTCTGTTCACACTTGTTTTGAACAGGAGCTCAAGCTGAAGCCTTTAATTTGGCCATGATGCAGTTGTGTGCATCTGCGAGGAAAGCAGCACACTATTTTTCCTCTGTGTCAAACATGAATCACAGCAGCTACTTTTATAGGTGGAGACATCAGCGGATGAGGAATCTGTGTAAATATGCGAGCAATGGGCTGATCGCTGATGAATGATCTCAGACAGATGCTGATGCTGGAGACTGGAAATTTCAGGTGCTGAAGCTGAACTCAGAACTAGAAGCAGTTACAGCCAAAAACACAACAATGGGTCAATACACACTCAAAGTAGGCTCAAAATAAATCATAAGAATAATCTAAGCAAACAATCTAACTATACTTAACAACTATAATTTGAGTTAAAGATTTTAACTGAAAGCCTAACTCTGTTTTCAGACAAGGGTGTTTTCTGCATTTTGTCAAGCATTTTAAATGTTTATGAATTTACTGTTCAAAGGTTCAGTCTGTAATATCTTTTTTATTTTTATTTATTCATTTTTTTAAACATTACGTTTATCAAAGCTGCATTTACATGATCAAAACTACACTAAAAACAGCAATATTGTGAAGTATTATTACAATTTAAAATAAATGTTATCTATTTTAATATCTCTTAAAAAGTTTTTTGTCAGCAGTAGGGTCACATTACCCCGTAAAAGTGAAAATAAAACTATTAATTAAAAAAAAATCTTACTGAACCCAAACTTTTAAACAGTAGTGTATACAATTTATTAATTAAATATTATGTTTATATTTGTTTTGTGTAATATATTGTTTTGTGTTTCATTATTAATAACCTTTTGCTGAAAAGTCTACAATAGGCTATTTAATTGCCATTGTGACAACTTATCTAATTTATTGTGACAAAATGACTACAGCTATTGATGTGTTTAATTGTTCTTTGATGTTATGATGTTATCACAGATAACTGTTTCTTTAATTCTGGTTTCTGTCTAATAATGGGGAAAAAAAAGAGTTGCCTCTTTATTAATTTGACAGATTTGTGCAAAATCTTTTTTGTGGGTGCTATTTCATGAAACATTACTCAAACGTCTTGCTTCTTTGCACATGGTTCATTTATAACTTCTCACAGAATGTATGGACAGCATATCAAATTGATGGGAGAAAAGAGTATTACCAGAACTGTAAGAGCAGTAACAGTTGTGGAGTTGAACGTAGGATCGTTGAGTAGTTTCTGGTACACCACTCTGTACTTGGAGATCCCTCCGTTTGGCATGCTAGGCTGGGTCCAGCTCAGCAGAAGAGAGTAGGCACTGGCAGGGCGGGCCGAGGGCGCATCCATTCCCTGCGGTTCTGCCTCTAGAGTTCGGACAGAGGTCCAGGAGCTGAAGGCAGAGCCTTTAGAGTTGTCGGCAGTGACTCTGTATTCATATTCACTGAACGGTAGAAGGGAATCTGAGGCATCGGTGAACTCTAGGGGACCTTCGGTCCAGATGAACACCAGCAGCTCCTCTTGAGTTCCAGTTGGTCGTCTGGAAGAGACAGAATTAAGATTACATGAAAAAACAGAAATCCTTCATCTGCCATTTAATGAAAGACAGGAAATACATGTGTAAAATTACACACAAAGTATCTTCTTTAAAGACCCTTCAAAGTTAAAAATGAGGCCCCAAAACAAACAAATAGTGGGGGTGCCAAAGGAAGGATGCAGAGATGAGGAAGAGCACACAGAGACGCATGAGGAGCAGGGGCAGAGCGCTGAGCTTTGCTCAAGCTTCGTTAATTCCTCCACATTAGAGGCCTGGCTTCCATGCTGCTGGAGAAAATGACATTCACCGCTCTAATGTGGCCCCTGCCGGCCTCACTCGCACCGCAACGGCCTAATCTCACCCACTGCATTAAAATAAAGCCAAACAGAGACTGGCAGGGGAGAAGAACGTCTCACACCATGGCGCTAAACTACAGCACACAGCTGCGATCAGCAGTCTTTTCCACACACATACAGACACTGCATCTGGAGCACAAGACATCTTTTTTTCCCCATTTACTTTTATTCCACTGGTTAAAAAATGTCGGTAAAGTTATTAATTTTTTTCAAGACTTCCCACTATGAATTTTTCAATTAAATTGCTAATTTTTGCTGCTGTACCTTTTAACAGACAGAAATGAGCTAAAATGAGCAACAGGACTTCTTCACTTACACAACGCTTTGCCATCACAGGAATTAATTACATATCAAATATATAAAAGAAAATTGTTATTTTAAATTGTAATAATATTTCACAAAATTACTGTTTTTACGGCATTTTTAAACAAATAAATGCAGCCTTTGTGAGCAAAAGAGACTTCTTAAAAAAACTTTTTTTTAAATACTTACCTATACATAAATTCATAACACCTAGGATTCACTGGACAGGCATGCAGAGCAGCAGGTGCTACACATAGCCAGGAAGAGCTTTCCAATTTTTAAAAATGAAATATATATCCTATCTATCCTACTTCCTCCTTATGAGGTCAAAAATCCAGAGACATTTTTGCTGATTAGTTCCAATGCAATCTATTTACATATCAATAAATCAAACTCTTTTACTTTAAAACATCAACAAGAATTTGATTTATCATGATATGACCCATTTCAGAAGTCCAGCATCTTGAGGCTGTAACAGCAAGCTGAATAAGGAGTTAAAACTTAATCAATGCTTTTATTGTCTCGCTAGCATCTGCAGCAACTGTATGCACGCAATATGAACATGGATGTATTCTTAGGAACTGATTTACAATAATTCTGTACAGCAGCAAAGGACTATCTCAGGTGGGATTCTCCTGTGTAATATAAGTTAAATGCGTGGAGGACAAACATCCCTGAGGAGGGGACGCTCACTTCACAATTTCAGATAACTTCCAATGAGCTGAATACATACACAATAGCACATTAAACCGATTACATTTAGCGCAGCACTGATCGCTGGTATTAAGATGAGCAGATAGAATAATACACCAAGTCCTTTAAGCCACGAGTGAATTCTTTGCCCCCTGAATATGATATATTTGCCAGAGTTTATCCCGCTCCCAAATCAGGGCTAAGATGAAATCCAGTCATGCGTTTGTCGGAATGCACCAGCATCTGTGGCTATGCTAATATTTTCTTAAGATTTATGACTTAGACTGATCTGACCTTGCATATGAATGACACTGGACAACAAGCCGCGTTGCCCTTGACTAAAATCTTACCTTGCTGCTAACGCACACACACACACACACACACACAAAATCATACTAGCGTAGAAGCTGTAAACACTGTTTTTGCTGCCATCCAAGAGCGAAAACTTTGGGAAGACATCTCAATATATAGTTTAATATGATCATTGTCTGGAATCCTTCAAGTCAAATCTGAATGTTTAAATTGGCATTCACGATGTGCAGCAATAAAGGTTCAAACACGGCCGGCTGTGTTGTTTCCGAACATAAGGGCAATGATGGCAGCGTAATGATAGAGTTAGCTACTCCCTGGTGCATCGCTCTCCGTTCTCCTTGAAGGATGCTTCTGTAACAGCGGAGTAAAGCATTCTGATGTGATCGTGCCATGTCAGTCTTAGCTTTATTTCCTCTGTGCGGGGTGCAAGCATCATGGCATTCTGTTTCATATTGCTCTCAAACAGCTCTGAATGTGCTTGGAATAATCAAAGTCAGCAGGGCAATGTCATCTTCCATTTAGAGCTGCCGATCAGCCTCTCTCTCTCCCTCTTCTCTGCGCTCAGATACCACAGTCACTGATATACAGCTGATATCCACATAAGCACTCCACACTCCATTCTGCGTTTTCCTGCTGTCAGTTAGACAGGAACTAGAGAGGAAATGTTGACAAGTGTAACCAGCAGTGATTGGCCTGTTCACCTCAAGGTCACAGCATAATTATTGTTTGTGTTCGACTACGTTTTTGGCCTTCCTTTCAAACATGCCCTGACATGGACTCACATCTACACACACATTTATCCCCATGCAAGCTCTGCACTGACATGAGCCTGACAGCATCTTTGTATGGAAGTGCATTTACAGAGATTGAGAGAGGAGTGCTAATAAATAGTACTAGGTAACACGTCCAAAGAGCCAAAATATGTCTTTAAATGTCCCTATGCTGACGGAACGTCTCGGTTACGTATGTAACCCTCGTTCCCTGAAGGAGGGAACGGAGACGTCACGTCGGAGGACTGACGAATTGGGATCTCGCTTAGAGGGACCAATCTACTTCGAGTGTAAACTAACGGAGCCAATGCACATTGGCATGCGATTATTGCATCCAGCTGCTGCTGATCACAGCGTGAGTATAAGTAGGCAGCAGGTGCAGCGCATATTCAGGTTTTCGCTGAGGAGCCGACCCGGCCGCTCAGCGGTGGTACAGAAGCTGTGGCGACGTGACGTCTCCTTCGCTTACCACCAGGTCTGGCGGGGGCCTGGACGGGCGGGGCGGCTGCCCTGCAGCTGACTCCTCGGCGCAGTTTTGCTGGAGGCTGCTGCGGGCGCTGTGCGGGAGTGGGGGCGGCGGCAGGGGGCCGCCCTCGGCGACGAGCGGGCTGAGGCACTGCCGGCGGCGGCCGGGTGGCGGCAGCAGCTGCACACCGGGGCAGGATGTACCTGATGGCCTCAGTCTGCTTTTGGGCGGCGGAGAACTGCTGGGCGAAGTTCTCCACCGTGTCGCCGAACAGGCCGGTCTGGGACACGGGGGCGTTCAAGAATCTTGTCTTGTCCGTCTCGCGCATGTCGGCCAGACACAGCCAGAGATGGCGCTCCTGGACCACCATAGTGCACATGGCACCACCCAGAGACTGCGCCGTAACCTTCGTCGCTCGTAGGGGACTCCCGTGTACCCCCACGCTGGACCCCCATCGAGGGTAGTGAGGGAGGATGAGCCACTGGGCCGCTTTCTGGCAGTAAAAGGTGCCGTCCATGACCCAACGATCTCATCATGCACCTCCGGGAAGAAAGGCACTGGAGTGGGGCCCTGAGAACCAGCGCGCGCCACCCCGAGAAACCAATCGTCCAACCTTGAGGGTTCGGGACGCGGTGGATCGTCGGCGGGTTCGGGCATCCCCCGAGGGGGATTCCTCACCGTGACCGTAAGACCAGTCCGCCCACTGGTAGAAAAAGGACGCCCCCGGCTGCTGCCAGAGGGAACCCCAGATCTAGGCAGTGGCACGGGCACTCCGCCCCCTTGCAGGTAACGGAGTCTGGTCCACAACTCCGAGATGGTTGCGGGGGCATGAGTCATCCACGAAAGCCACCTGAGCGTGCTTCATGCCCAGGCACGAGAGGCAGCGATCGTGACCATCACCCGGCGCCAGGTAACGACCGCACCCAGAATCGCACGGATAGTATGACATCTTTAAAAAGACTCGTCTTTAAAAAGATGTTCCACCCGTGAAGCTCTTTTAGAATGGAAATTGCTCTTTTAATGTGCTGAAGCGCACAGGGGAGATGGCTGTCTGCAACACACACAGGGGTAGTGCAGCCTGTTGTGTGCAACCCACTTGACACGGGAAAACCACCGCCGCTGAAGCGCCGTCCACCAGCACGAGAGCCCACCGAAGAGCGTGCTTGACTGTAGTTTATCACTACTGCAGAAGGTCAAGAGCAGAACGATAGAACCGCTTGGCTCCGAAGCGAAAAGCTGAATATGCGCTGCACCTGCTGCCTACTTATACTCACGCTGTGATCAGCAGCAGCTGGATGCAATAATCGCATGCCAATGTGCATTGGCTCATTTAGTTTACACTCGAAGTAGATTGGTCCCTCTAAGCGAGATCCCAATTCGTCGGTCCTCCGACGTGACGTCGAGAGTGACCGACTGAAAGGGAACCAACTTTATTCAAGTACTGACAACTGGATGTCATGATAATTTGTAACCCTGGACCACAAAACCAGTCTTAAAGGGGTCCTATTATGCTTTTTAACTTTTTGAATTTCAGTCGGTGTGTAGTTTGTATGTTTGGGCATAAAAAAGATCTTCAAACTTACAAATCTCAAAGTCCACTCCAAAGGGAGATATTTCGTTTAAAAAAAAATCCCTTTTCAAGAACTACAATGAACGGCTCGTTTGGACTACAGCGTTTGTTTTCCGGGTTTTGTGATATCACAAAGCGGTCCGTTAGAATATCATTAAAATAATTCCTGCCTATGGAAATTCGAATGGTTGGGGGGTGGGGAGGGGCGAGGTCGTGGTTAGTACACTTGGTTGAGTGCATCAGACAAGACTATGACGAAGAAGTGCTGCTGCTATAGCCTCAAGTTTTCGCAAGTTATTACACATGCATCTGAATAATTATGTATGTAAATATGTACAGTATGTTACAATTATGAAAAGTTTTTATATTACATTGCTGACAGTACAATACTGGACAATGATGTAATCTGCAGAATTTACACTTCAATTATGAGACTACAGTGTTTCCCATACATTGAGTGTTTTTATATCACTATATTTCTGAAGGAAACCGACTGTCTTCAGAAAATTGGATGTCATTTTCATTTAATCTGGCAGACATAATGTAACTAAAATGAAAATAAATAACAAATACAAATAATACAAATCAAATGACAGTAGTTTATCAGTAATCCAAAAAAAATAACACTGCCAAACACACGTTAAAAAACAACAACTTACTTACACACAGTAAAAAATGGTTATAAAAACTGAAACAGAATATCACTATATAATATCATTATATCACTGTATTTCTGAAGGAAACCCACTGTCTTCAGAAAATTGGATGTCATTTTCATTTAATCTTGCATGTAATGTCTGATAAAGCAGTGTATTTTGAGCGGAGCTCTGCTTTGTGTACAGCCGTTACTGGGGAACCCTTGATCTCTACCACTCCAACAGCTGGCAGAGAATGAGTTTGCATATACAGTATATGCGCCTGGGAAACACTGGACTATGGTATAAATAAATTCAACTGTATAACAGTTTCACTGCAATTCATGTTATAATGTTAGAATTAAATAACAATAAAAATAATACATATGCACTTATCTGTACATAGTAAATGCAGTTATTTTTAAGCGGTTGTTGATATCCTATCTAAAACGTGATTTAGCCAAAAAAACAAAACAATAACGTTACCACTCTAATATGTCTTACAATATCCGTGCGTGCAAAGGTTCTGCGTGATCCTCTTGTTCAATATTCTCGGGGTCTGAATCCGGCTCAAATTGATATGGCAATATTGACGCCATCCTTAAAGGGGCAATGTATAAATCTCAATTTCAAAAAATTGACCCTTATTTTTGTGGTTCAGGGTCACATATAGCTATGAATATTCTATTCTTATTCTGATGATTCTTCATTTCCATCAAATTTTTAATGATGAGTCTTTTTTTTTTTTACTCATTGACGTTTCTGTAGCTCAAACAGTACAGAATGGTACTATAGTGCCAAAGTTATGGGATCAATTACCAGGCAACATATGAACAGAAATGCTGAATTATCAGTGAACATTTCTGTGCCAAATGTCTCCTTCCAAATGTCTTAGGCCCAATCCCAATTCTACCCCTTAGCCCTTCCCCTTTCCCCTTTCGTTTGAAGTGTGGTCCCGAAAAATCTTCATTTGAAGGGCTATCTGGCCCTTCCCCTTACCCCTACCCCTCCAACCAAAAGAGAATCTAGACACCCCTACCCCTCCGTTTCGTGCATTCACGTGAAGGGGTAGGGGTGTCTCGATTCTCTTTTGGTTGGAGGGGTAGGGGTAAGGGGAAGGGCCAGATAGCCCTTCAAATGAAGATTTTTCGGGACCACACTTCAAACGAAGGGGTATGAATTATCTCAGCGTAAACCGGCTTCAGCAGCAACATGGCTGCCCGAGAGAACAAAAAGACACAAATGTAAGCAATTTTTGGCTTTGATAAAGATTTTAACAAAAAGTAATCATTTGCTTTATGTTACATTCAATCGTGAGTTCATATTTACGGTCATGTTACTCAAAGAAATGTTTGCAAAAAATCGCTAAAGTTTGCTAACGTCATATTACAGACGGCACGATATATGCCACAACATATTTTCATGTCTGATCAGGGCGATAACCACCATAGACATTGAGGGGGGCTAGTCCCCCCAATAATTATAAATCGCTAAACCCTTCAAATATTGCCAATTCGAGAGCGAGAGAGAGATGAAAGTTGCGTGTATGCGCGTCTCTCTTTTTAGAGTGAATTTACTTCAGAAACAGCGATTTTATCCTCTTGTTGCTGGAAAATATAATGTAGTGATTCAGTATTTAAACTGTTATTAATAAAAGTCGTGGGGCAGCGTTGACAAGTTTCTTTGCTCCTGGATGTGTGAGCTGCGCGATCTCTGATATATGTGTATCTCTGATATATGTGACACTCTGTTTCAAGGGATAAGGGGAAGGGGTAGGCAGAGGGGAAGGGGAAGGGGAAGCATTCTAACTGCATTCAAACGGAATGCCCCAAATACACCGATATATGGACAGTGTTCTATGATAAAATACAGCAGATCCATCAGACATTTAAAACTCTTTCAAACCAGGAGAAACTGCCGTATCTGTTAGGAGAACAGAAGAACTGCTGTGTGTTTTTTTATCATAGAGAAGAGAAAACACTCACCCTGCCCTGATCTGATGTTTCCAGCACATCTACATTATATTATGCCAAATTACTCTATTATATATTACTTAGATGTATATTTTGCTTCTGTAAATATGTCTAATCCCTTATTTTATTTTTATTTCTAGTTTATATACATTAGTAATTAATTTTGCACTACATGCTTAATACTTTTTATATATTATTATTATTATTATTCTTTCTGTAAATACATATGTGTACTATTTGTAAGCAGTCCAGCTGCAATTGCTTTGGCAATACAAATGTATTATTTTTGTCATGCCAATAAAGCACTCTTAAATTGAAAAAAAATTAAAAATTGATACGCAGATGCAGGTAATTCACACACACAACTGTCATCTCTCTCTCTCTTCTCTCTCTCGATTGATAATTAATAAAAAAAAACGCTATAATTCATTCAAATAAATGTGGGCTTACCACACTCATTTATCTCTGTGTCTGATTTGAAGCGGGCAGAATGATAGAGCTAATGAGCCATAACTGACGAAAATAACTGTAATTTTTACCCTTCCAATCAAATATTGCGCTGCAAACATAATAAACAGCTTTAAGTTGTCAATGCTGGCAAATTACCATAGTATAAGCTTCGCGTCGCCTGGTTCTTGGCCTCCACATCGTGCATTAAATTATTTTTATTGCACAGCTAGCCATGCATTATCCCTTACTTAAATGTTACAATTTTCAAAATCAGGGGGTGATACAGTAAGTAAATATTTAGGCTGTATGTGAGAGTGAGTGCTTTGTACCTGTATATGAAGTAGCTAGTGATGAGGCCGTTGGGTTTGTTTGGCGGACTCCAGCGGACCTCGATAACAGTCGCACCTGCAGCTGTGAGAACTGGAGGGTCCTGAGCTAACGGAACAGCCTCAGGGGTCCGAACAGACACCCCCTGTCCTACACCACAACCATCTGCACATACAAATATATAAATGAAACCATTTGATATATAGCTACAATCACAACTAATACAACATATTTAAACAGAGAGAAAGGACAAATTGTAAATACGTTTCCTTGACTTCCCCCCCTTATTTTGGATACTGATTTAAATACATTAAGCATTTACAGAGCCAAATATTTAAAAATTTGCAAACAGCGAAATTCCAACAAAGTTAACTCAAACTATCTGATTGTTGTATACCTAAAATGAAATCTATGCCCCTAATCGTATCTTTTCAGTTTCTGTTTTCTATATTTTCTTCTTTCATCCGTCTTTTATTTGACTATTTTCTTAAGTTTTGCACTGCTTAGGTTTCAGAGTACCTGGCTGACAGGCCTGTACTTGAATGTGGTAGACGGTGTAGGGGTCTAGTCCTTGCAGTAACAGGAAGTGCTCTGGTCCAGCAGGGCGGATGAGGGGCCGCTCAGTGCCTGCATTGAGCAGGACGTTATATTCCAAAGGGCCACTTGAATTATACACACCTTAAAGGGAAACAGAAATATAAAGTCACATTTACTTCTTTTTACTAACTGATATACAATCATATCTTGTTTAAGCAAAAACATGATAGTAGAAACGTGACACAAATGCAACCACTCACTAAACCAATAACTAAACTGAGAAACTAACCGAAAAGATTAGTGCCAACCCACCAAGAAAACAAACACACAATCAGCTCACCCAGTCCACAATCACAATATATGAAGAGCCGTATTTACTCGTAATAAAGTGCAAGTACTGACATACAGTGGATCTGACACTTTGGGAAGCTTTGCCCTTGATTCAACATCCTTCTAGGCAAGCAGGCACTTCCCCCATTCCGTCTATCCCTCCTCTGTCCGAAACACACAGACACGCACACAGTCTTCGGTAATGCATTTGAACTAAAGAATGTAGAGTCCCGGCATCCACGCTTTGTTAATATTCCCATCACTAGCGCCTTTCATAATTTACGGCAACTGGAGGCTGATAGGTTATTCAACATTTATGAGACCCGAGATGTATTCAGAACGGGCTGATTATCTTTACAAATGAAAAAGTTAAATTATTCAACTTCCTTCATTGCGTCTCCCTGAGCAGATGTAGTCTTTTGCCTGAGACACAAAAACCCGCTGGAATTAGACGGCGCTTTGATCAAAGCTTCCTGCCGGAGAAGTTCAATCGCACAGGTCCCTAAGTTCTATTATTTACAACTAATCACTGACTTTGGAGTTTTTGCACTTTCAACTTGAATGAGAGTCTAATAAAAAATAATGGCACAAAGGAAAATAAAAGGAACATGCTATCAGATCTGATCCATCAAGCACAGGTGCAGCTTAAAACCGTGCCCGTTTCTCCATTCGGACTTAACCAAGCGTGAGATATTGTAGTTTGAAGCCATAGATTTTTTCGCTTGCCTCTCTCTGAATGTAAAGTCAATAAAAGATCTGGGCTATGTAAATGTTTTCTGTGGGTATCAGGGCTGTTTAAGGGCTCTTATGGTGTAATTGAGGTTGTTTAAGGGGATCCTCTCACAGGAGAGAGGCATAATGGGGCAATAATAGCAAAAGATGGACCATCTGAGGCAGACAATCAGGACCGCTTGAATGTAGTGTGTGAAATCACTCTTGAGTGTGCGAATATGCACGCACACGCTTTAACACTCACTCACCCACCCACACCGCTTCGCTTTGGACACATGACCAGTTGAACACATACACACAGATCTGACATGCAAAGGGTAGATGCTGCACATATGTGCTCTCGTGCACATATGTGCAGCAGGTGGGCTGGGTAGCAGTCTGGGGTGCTTGAGTCTATGAACTACCACAGCTAATACCATAGGGAGAAAGAGAAGGAGAGTTTGCATTTGCTCTCCATGTGGCAGAATGTTCGGTCCACATGCACCGTGGGATGTGCAGATGAGCCTGGTGATGCAGTCTCAGAGTGTAAACAGAGTGACTGATTGATCATTGTAGGCATGTGGGCTGCAGTCTGCAAATGACATGATGAGAAGTTCATGCAGGACCACTGCAAAGACAACACACTCTGGATGACAACATGGCCTCCACAAAAGGGACTTCCAAGAAAATGATAAAAAAAAAATTGTTTAAAAGTTATTTTCTGTTCATTGCCTTTGTGTTTCACACCACACTCTAATTTTATTTAAAAAAATCATATATATATATTAAAAAAAAAAAAAAAAAAATTTTTTTATTATTATTTTGTTTTAAATAAGTGCAGTATTTATCTAGCAAAAAATGGAGGATCGCAATGCTTCTGCCAGCAGTAAACAGCATCTATATACACTCAGACACCAGATATAATTTTTTATAATTTTAATTAGTGGGTGCAGGACACTATAGTTCATTTATATAAGTGAGGATAGCAAAATAAAGTAAACTGTGACATATTATACCCAAAAATTCTTCATACACTTTGACCTGACCATGTTTTGCTTAAGTGTTATATGACATTATCAAGATGAATTTGTTCCGACACAGTTTAACTCCGAGTTCTTGTCATATTTTATTAGCATTTTCTAAACTATAGCAAATAATCTGTGATAATGTGTGAAATGTTGAAGGTGTCTGAATACATTTTGGTTTGACTGTACATACATACACACACATACAGTGGAGATCAAAATTAGAGAACAATCTATAAATACTTTACTTTTCTGAAATATTATTAATCTTCATCGCTCAAAATTTGAAGGAATATTAGCCGTGGGTATAGCACTGTTATATAAACATGTTTTACAAAATAACCAAGGCATTTCAACAAAACCTTTTATTTTGTGGAAAACACTGATCAAAATTAGAGAACAGTAACCACTGCAGCCCGAAAGAAGATTACAACTAAAATTGTGGAGGGTTACAGCTGTCAGAAATTAGTAGGAAGTGTAGAGGCCCTTGTTTTGATCTGCGGCTAGTTTCTCATATTGCGCTGGTGTGATCTTGGTCCACTTTTCTTCCAGGCTCTTCCATAGCGTAGTGGGTTTCTTAGCCATAACTTTGTTGCCAAAGATTTTCAGTTGGTTTCAGATCAGGACTCTGGGCTGGCCATTTCATTATTTCAATGTTTTCAGCTTCAAGGAACTGCTTTGCCCATTTTGCAGTGTGACAGGGGGCATTGTCTTGCATGAAAATTGCAGGCTGATTGGGAGATGCTTGCAATGAAGGAACTGCATGTTGCTGAAGGAGGTTCTGATAAACATTTGCATTCACCCTGCCATGTAGCTCTATAAGAGGCCCAACTCCTGCTGCACAAAACATCCCCCAAACCATGATACTTCCTCATCCACCTTTCACTGATTTCTTTACGCACTTGGGGTTCAGTCTTTCCCCATAAGTGTACATATTTTTTCCTGTAAAAGCTCTATGTGTGGTGACTTATCCATTCAGTCTTCCCTTGATCTCAGCTTTTTGGGCTTTTAGAAGATTAATCCAGAGTACAACCAAGAAAGCTGGAATGCCACTAAATAAATATACAGTTAACAAATAAATAAACCTATGTGTGCTGTCGTGCACCAACATGCACGTGATCAGCATTGGTACACACCATCAAATACCTGAAATTCACCTCAACTCCACAGCAACAGCGGAGAAGGAGAGAATGAATGGGACACGATTGGACAGTGATGGGAGAACACACGCAGGTGAAGGGCAAGCACATCTCAAACAACTCTCCCCTAAATCACACTAGAGGTAGGAAAAGCTGTCACTTAGGTTTGAATGTTAATTGATTGGTAGGACCAATCTATGTCTGGCCCGCACTGATGCATGTACACTACGACCATGTTGGGCTCCTGGTAAATTACACATAACGCCACTCGTAAATCCCTGCCCGTGTGCCGTCACTTTCGCAGGCCCGAGCAGGGATAAATCAGCCTTGCTTTAGTGCTAAATAGAGAGGCTGCATAGTGCATTAGGTTGTAAACATTACCTGGGGGTGACCAGGCAACAAAGATGGAGCGAGGGCCACGGAGGCTGACATTATACGGAGGAGGAATCCTTTCCGGGGAGGAGATGGGGGTCTGAATGACATATCTATCACTGAGACTGCTCCCGCCGCTGGTGTTGGCCTCCAACTCGTACACATATCTGTGAAGCAAAGACGGATAGGACATAAATAAGTCAACTGCAAAACTAAATTATGCTATTAGCTTAAAAGTCTCTTGTCACAGAAGTTAAATTTGCCTCTGTTTCAGCGAATTCTCCATTTCAGGTGGGAGACGACGCTGCGTTTAATTATTCATTGTCCGCGAGAGAGGCGGGTGCATAGATTCTGCCATTAAGCCGTGTCTATCACAGCAAGCACAGTTTTGTTTGAGGATGTGCATCTTTCATTGGAGTCCTCAGAATTGAGGCATGAATGCCGGTGTAACAAACCAAATGTTATTTAAAATCATGAATGCAAGCTAAAAATAATCACTCGCACATCTAGTTCAGAATGATGTCATATAGAGCAATTTTTTTTTACAAATTTACAGCAGTTACAGCAGACCTTACAAAAAAAAAATGTTTTATTAAAAAATACAGAATACACTGTAATTTAGCCAAGTTGAAATCTTAGCAGCAAAATAGCTGAAATAGCAGCAAAAAATATTTCATTATACAAAAAAAAATCACAAAATTTCATTATATATAAAAAAACAAAAACAAAACCCAACTTGGTTACTTGTTTTTGAATCTGTTCATTTATGGTTTCATGAACCATCACATTTACCACTGTCCAGTGAAATTTTGTGGGCAAATTTTGTGTGAGGGCGAAAGATTTCCCCACACCGAATTAGCCACTGGTTCAAGTTAAATGGAATCGCTGCCAAGGTTACTATCATTAACAAAAACTAAAACCATTAAAAGAAAACATAATTTGAAATAAAATAAACATTTCCTGAAATAAAACCTATTTTATTACAGCTACTTGCCAAAGCAACATTTGTCATTTTCATTTAAAGCTTAAGTACTAAAATAACTAAATCTAAATAAAACTTAATAAAAACTATATAGAAATATTGAAAAAATCGAATAAAAAGGACAAAAAAACAAATTTTTAACATTAAAATGAAAACAGAAAATATATAAATAAAATATAATAAAAAATATGAACAAAATCTGTAATAGCATATTAATGATAAAAAAACGTCACTACACTGACAAACAAAAAGCTGCTTGGTTTGAAATTGATTTCTGTGTGAGCGGTGTTTTATACATCACTACACTATTGATGATAGACAATGGACAAACATTTTCTGTATGTAAAATTTCACCTAAATTTAACGAATGTGACCAAAAAATACTTAGTAACTGTAAAGACAGATGGTTATTATCACAAAATAAACTGGCAGTATTTTAAACAAAATTAATTTAAAATACAACTTTTCAGAGGGTTTCACTAGAATAAATAAAATCACTGACTAAAATATAAACAAACAAACCTATCTAAAAATAGTCAACTAGTCAGCTACTGACCCTCATGAAATGTACAGTTTTGTTTCTGATATAAATGGGGAAAAGAAAAGGCTCAGATGACTAAGCCTTCTTATAATTCTGCTTTTACATTATACTTGATTCATTGGAACAGTCCCTGCTGGATCAATATGGTCTGATACTATTTAACAGATGACATTGTTAATGCAATGCTGATCAGCCCCTCCACTGTGATCTGTGACAGGCGTGACAGACATGCATATGAAAAGAAAGGGAAGTGTGTGTGTGTGTGTGTGTGTGTGTGTGTGTACCCGCATGTATTAACGCCTGATGTGGGTTATAAAAACACTCTGCGGAAGGCTCTTTTAAGACATACATGACTTCACAAGATAGATTTGCCTTTTAAACAAAGATGGGTGTCAGTGCAAAGGTGTGCATTAGCAATGTATGTGGGTCATGTTGAACATTAAAGGCTTTTAATTTGCCATAAACTCCACAGCCAGCCATTAATACCTCGACATTAACTATTGTTCCAGCACTATCCCTTTAAAATAGTCACATCAGTTATTATATACCGTGCTCATCATGTGTAATAAAAGCATTAACAAAATTAATCAGCGAACACACACATGAAGAGTCTCGCCAGAGAACAGCTGTGCATACCATTGTGTATGTTGCATATTTTAAGTCAAATAAACACGATGTGGCGCATCAAAAGAGGTGGCGAGTGGCTAACCTGTTTCCCCAGAGGGAGAAAGGTTAATATTTCACTCGTCAGAGAGACTTTCTACGATGGTGAGGTAAGTGACAGCTAATCAACACTGTCATAAATAATCGATGAGCAGGAGTGCTGGCAGAACACCCTCCAGCCCCCTGCTTAACTGTTTCCCACATCAGCCTATAGCCTCTCCGGATAATGAACCGCTCGTCTGCCACTGTATAACGCTCCTTACAGGGCTAAATTGGAAGAAGAAAGGGAAGGGGAAGAGCACGGGAAATGGGAATGCCTTTGGGCAGGTCCTGTGGAATTATGGCAAATTAAACGTCATGGCTATCCCCGACTCCATTTGGAGCTACAGTATAAACAAAAGCAGCAGAGGGACAATGAGAGAGATGTCAGGTGACTGAATGACCTGTCCAAATTGTCCAATCAGAAGACACATGGTTTTGACAGTTTAAATCAGTGTAGAAGATATAGATTCGCATGTTGAAAAAGGTTTATACATTCTCTCTCTCTCTCTCTCTCTTTCTCTCTCTCTCTCTCTATATATATAGAGAGAATGCAGTGAACAATCTACGAATCACTGATTGTAAAATAATGAAACAAACAGATTTATCCTGTCTTAAGCAGCTTATGAGACTGAACCATTGCAAATATTTACACAACATATTGCACAAACTAACCAATTATTTTGCACACACAGGGTCCCTGTGTGCATTTTTTGATTACAGCTAACCAACAGATTTCACAGATGCTAAGACCGAATATATTTGTGAATAACGAGGCAGTAACAAAACAGCTAAATTTCTACATCAAGAATGTTTTTCCACAAAATTACTTAAGCTGAACATTAAGCAGATTTTTTCTTTATTATTCAGCACATAAAAAAATTTGTTTAAAATTACAATTAAAATGTACAATTCAAATTTGTCTACAAAACTGATTACAAATACAATACAAAATACTAATATAAAAATTTGATATTTAAATAAATATTATAATTAATCAATATATTTGAATTATTTATATACTTTAATTACAATGTCCTACTTTAATTATTAATTAAATAATTTAATATTTAACATTAATGTACAAATGTAAAAATATGTCAAATATTTTAATCAAATAATTAGGGCTGGGTATCAATTCAGATGTCCCGATTCGATTCGATTTCGATTCGCAAGCTCTCGATTCGATTCTCGAATGTTTTTGATTACATTCAGTGAATATAGTTTTAATACAAATGCTATTGATATTTCAAAAAAATTAACAGTAAACATCAGTTTACAAATGGTGAATTAATAAAAATAAATTAAGCCACATGCCTGTATTTTAAACCTATACTTTTTTTTGTATGGGTCCTTTTTTAAACAATAATAGGGCCCTATAAAATGTTCTTAATTTTTCTGGTAATCAGATGAAGGCATAACACATTAATTTAATTTATCCTAATCAAATGAAAATTAAACCCTTTTATTTTTTGGCAAACAAAGTGCTGCACAACAGAGGTTTACTGTTAAAATTAAAAAGAAAACAGATGTGATTATTCCTTTAAAAATAAAGATTTATTAATATTTATTAGCAGTAGTAGCATTGCTTCTTAAGACTGCTAAATAGTAATATATTAATCGAAAAATCAATATTTTTGCCCAGCCCTACAAATAATAATAAATTATTATATTACAGTGTTATAATAACTAGGGATGCACCGATACCGTTATCAGTATCGGGCCCGATACTGAGCTCCTGTACTCGTACTCGTACTCGTACTCGTACTTGTTAAAATGCCCCGATACCAAACGCAGATACCACACAGCATGTGATAAGCGCCATATTCAGACAAAGAAACACCGACAACAGAACAACAGACAGCAGAATGGAGTTAAGGATGTCTACTACGAAGTATATGTATGCAATGAATATAACATTAAAGGGTTTATATAATGCGATTTCAATTTTTCCTTTCTCTTTGGAGTGTTACAAGCTCTTGGTGCATAAAGAAGATCTGTAAAGTCTCAAATCCAAAGAGATATTCTTTATAAAATTTCAGAGTCAGCCACACCTACCTAAAATGGCTCGTTCTAACACGCCCCCACATATCTACCTCACTATGTAGGAAGTATGTTTTGCATAACACCGCCCAAATGTCCACGCAAAGAAAGAAGGCGTAACTTTTATTCTCACTGTAGTATTGTTGACGCTGCAGCCATGTCGTGAAGGCGCTGTGTGCTTCGTTGTGAAAGCGAAACTACTTTGTTTGGTCTTCCAAAAAAGGACGATATCCGTTTCGTCATGCCTAGAGCTGATCGGTGCTGGTTGCTGAGGGAATACATCAACTTTCACTGTGGACAAAGCGGAGTCCAGCCCGGGGTCGTCACATGTGGTTGTCACTCATTCGTCGCATCCGCCGGGCGCGCCGTCCTCGACCCCGCCGCCTTAGCTCACTCTATCCCGGCCTCAGCGCATGCTAAGCCGGGGCTTCGGCTCACGCTAGCCCGGCCTCAGCTCACTCTATCCTGGCCTTAGCGCACGCTAAACCGGGGCTTCCCCTCACGCTAGGCCGCTGTGTTTTTCGTTGTGAAAGCGAAACTACTTTGTTTGGTCTTCCAAAAGAGGACACGACTACAAATCAGTGGTTAAGTTGTATTTACAACACTGTTCCAGAACAGTTTAACCCAAATATCCAGATGTGTGCAGCACATTT